CCCCCCCCCACCCCCCCCCCCCCCCCACCAGGCCTACATGGGTTCCAAAATAAGCACTAATAGCTACTAATGTCTGACTCCATTTTAAATTGTAAAATTCACCTCCATTTATCAGCCTTTGTTGTTTTAATGACTTTAGAATTTTTTTTTTCCGTCATAAGTACACAGCAACGCAAGCAAAGAAATAGGACGGCATCAGTTCAATCCATTGAATGGACGGACTTGCTTATGGAGGAATGATCCCAAAAACTCGATTCTCTGGCACATTCTGCTACAAACGATTACAGACGAAACAGGAACTTGTGAAGATGAAAGAAGTCGAATCTAAAATAAATGTGCTTTCGTATACATTTCAAGTTCTTTTTCAAACAATTTTTTAATGCCAAAGTAGAGAATTGGAGGGTACAAACTAAAATATTTGTTAACGAGATTATGAATAGCTACAGTAGGTTGTTTAGCAAAAACGTGTCGTCTTTAAAATTCAGCTTACCTGTATGACATGTCAATACTCACGGACGCATATCTTTTGACACATCGGAGCCAACAGAGAAGCAAAACATAGAAAAGTATATGTACTGTCGACCGAAACGAACTGAAGATAATTCAAAATCTTATTTCGCAATGAAGAAACAATCAGTTCCAAAAGAAAGAAATGTTAGCGAGATATAATTCGAATGATTCAACTCGATTCTACCGCCATACGGAAGACCATAGGGCATAACCACTCAAATAAGTCAGATAGTTGTTTATATTTATAATCTCATCTTGCGTTTTTTCAAGATATTTCTCACCTGATACTCCCGAAAGAAGAACAAAAACGGACAGGATCGGGGCAACAAAAGTCTTCATCTTTCTTTTTTTCCTTGATACACTATAAATACTATTCCCTGTATGTGATTATGATGTCGTCATTGACCCATAAGGTCACGCAAACTGATCACACATTCAGTCAAAACAGAACAAAAAGAAATCTTTCCAGAGAACTCGAGCTGTGCTAGATAAACAAATATAAACTTTGTTGTGTTTTCTGACGAATTAAGGAACAGGAAAGAACTGGGTTTTTTTAAATTTGTGGGTGTGGAAATGCGGGCTAGATGAAGCTCTTTACGACAACCTCCATTTTCACTGACAACTCTTTTAAATACAGATTTAGAATCACATTTACGTTTTTCCTGTAATTGCTGTTTAGTGATCACTACGACTACATTAAAATAAGTAGTTAAATCTCTACTTCATCTATAAGAATTATTTTGTACAGTTTTTATCTTTTCATCTCCCAATATGGGAAACCGTGAACTTGAATCTGGTGTTTGCCGTACACGTGATTTCAAATCATTTGCGGTGTGCACCGCGTCCAGAGTTTTTGCATGATTTTCGGTTAACCAATTCAAGCCTTGTACATCGCGCTTCAGAGAAGTGTGGCCTTTCTTTACTGTCAAACTCAGAAAACTTCGAACATCTGAAAAATTTAAGAAACGTTTAAAATGCGATGGCAGATCACAAAAAAGATCCAAGCTTCGATGGACTCAACTTTCAAAGAGCATGAGGGAAAGGCTGTCCTTATCCAAAAATAAAATCCCTAAAACGGCAACACACATGAGGGAAAGGTTGTCTTTATCCAAAAATACTATCGCTAAAACGGCAACACACCTCTGCACTGATAAACATAAATATTTTATTTCTCACGGATCATAATGTATTACAACCTAGTGCTTTAAATTCCCCTTGTTCTCTCCTTTTTTTGGCTCTGTTTTTGTTTAACCCTCATCCTACTCAAACTTAGTGTGCTGTACAATAAACCATACAATATTTTCATTTCTTTTTTTTCTTATTTACATTTGATAAACGTCACTTTACACTACAAACTAAAAATTCGCTATCTAACAGGTAAAATCTCTGGAGTTACAAGTCCCATGTGAGTATCATGTCCGTTAAGAGTCCCACGAGTACTGGGTCTAGCGTCTTCAGTTTTTCGAGTCACAGGTGTACCAGCTTCTGAATGTGTCACTGCATCGCTGTCAAGTGACTTGCCAGATCGGCTCTCCTGCCGTAATTTTGGCATGTGTATGGGGGGTAAAGGGGGGTAAGTTGATAACAGGGGCCCACTGTGAGGGCGTGTGGGATCTTGAGCAGTGCTAGGTGAAGATGTATTTTGAATACCTATAAAATATAAGAAAGTTATCAGTTATACACAAGACAACATCTCCAGCACTTAATTCGCCATGGGCCCATGTCATGCCAGATGTGTAATGACCCATGAGCTACAACATGTGTTTCCAGCTATACAAGTCCTATAGCTCTTACCTACATCAGTCACTTAACTCCCCCCTCTCCCCCTTCTGGACTTGATGCCAATCCATCGCAGGATTACCCCCAGTAATATATTCGTCGATACCCATCTCTATACCTAGCTGCTCGAGAGTCAAATTACAGACAAATAATGAGCAAGGACTTGACACTTTTATCAGTTGAAAGTAAAACTTACGCATTCGTGTTATGTATTCAGTATTGAACAAACAAAAACGCATGTATAGAGAGCGTCAATACCCGATGAGTGTTTGGCTTTTTTGATTTGTTTGCCACCCGTTGGTCTCTCAACTGTTACGTAACTCCTCACCGCGGACGCTGTCACTTCCCCTGCATCAACGAAAGCCAAAATAGGCTTGCTGTTGACAAAAGAAAGGAAAAAGTTGAAGAAAACGCTACCAGACTGGTGTCCACCTAACCTTACCTAAATCATTCTATCGAGTTGTATTGACAAATTCTGTAATGTGTATTTCGTAGCACATAAAATCATGTGACCTTCCGTGAAGGTGCAAGAAAATAAGTGGACCTTTCTTCTAGGACAGCTCTTTATCTAACAACAAACTCCTCGCAACCCTTACCAATAATACATTCAACTCTAACCTCTCACCTATCTAAATGACAGAGTCAATTAAACCTGCGATCAGGCGTTTTTTAAGAAGAAAAATAAAACAGACAAGACACGCAGAACAAACAGAGATCAGATATAGGGACAGCATGATCTCAGCTACTACTAAGTATGCAACGTTCTTGCTTAAGAGGTTCGACAGCAGGTGGTTTTAAACTCCAAGTTCTAAGCAAAGCAAAAATAAAAGGGGTTGCGTCGATGCATCGATTGGATCCGAGGTGAAAACTAATTGCGAGATAAACATAAAATGACAGTACCTCACGTCCGTTTGACCAATCATCATACGATTAACATCCAGCTCCAAAATCTTGGGTGTATTGAGCTCAACAGCAGTAGAAGGAGTCGCAAAGGCTTGTGACTTAGATGCCCGCCAAGCTACACCAGGTAAAGAGCTTAACAGGAGCTCTTTTTCCATGGGCCGGGTCACCCTCATCCTCATTGTACCATCTTCTAACTGGGACATTGTCGGGATGGAGGGAGGTCTAGCGAAGGAACTTTGAGTAAAGTCACGGTACAGCCCTGGTGGAATAGGTCCCTTGCCTAGCCAGGGTGTGGGTGCTGGGGTCACTGGGCCGCTGGCTTTGGGTGGTACTGGAGGTGGTTTGTGCTTCTGAGCTGTGACATATCCAGTGTTTACTTCCGGTCTGTAAACATATGGAAAAAAAAATCACATGAAAATAGCGGGATTACTCCGTGTGAGAGAAGGAAAACAAAAGCAAACAAACAAGCAAACATACGAATGAAAAGCAATTGTAGACAAGCCATGAACATTTTCTCACCTTCCTTTAAAAGAATACACTGGTTTTATAAGGAAGATTCCAGTCTCTTGCTCCAGGTTTACAAAGCAATCCGTCAACTGTTGAGCGAGCCTTTCTCGATCGTTAGAGTATTGGTCCATTTTGTCTCCCCAGCGCTGTGCGCGTTTGTTTTGCAGTTTTTCCATTTTATCCAAGGCTGAGAATACTCCCTCATCAAGGCTACCGCCTTGTTTCAAACTTTGTTCTGTATTAACAAATAATATATACATGATCAAAACTGACTACCAAAGGGATGGCAAGATGTGGAGCGAAAGAAGTGGGTGAAAAGGTCAGCAGGATGCTACGAAGACCTTGCTGAATTAGTCAGTTTGAGCCATCCACACACGGCAAAAGCTTTTTTACTTTCGGTATAGGTTGTTTTACCCAAGAAAAAAACTTACCATAAAACACAAAAAAGTTTAGGGGAAAAATTGTTCTTATCTCGGCGTATGCAACCTCGACTAAAGATTCTCAAAGACAGGTTATGTATTTAACACGTGCCAAGACAGTTACCATACTCTGATCTGCTGATCAAGAAATCCGGGTAAATTTAACTGTTATTCTCATAAATACGAATATTCGGTTCATCCTCAGCTACTGCCATTAACAGTATTATGACTATCGTTATTTCAAATCGCATGTAACAATTACCGATGTCCTTCATGGAGCGGTGGTGACTGTATCGTCTGACAATATGCGCCAGTCTCTTGGCTGGTAAACTAACATAGTTGTCCATATGCTCCATGATCGCAGAGAAGCTCTCTTCAGATAATCTTCTCTCATGAACAGCACGCTTGAGTATCTTTCCGTTCCGCTCTGCATCGAGTCGTGTAAACATGATGGAAGAACTTGCACGCTATTGAAGAAAGGTTATGCTATGTTATTCAAACTAAGCGAGTTGCCAAAGCTATGTTAACGTAAATACGTTAACGTACCTTGCGCATTTTTATGTGGGCTTAAGACAGTGAAAATATGGGGTAATGAATATCATTTCAGCTAAATAAAAACCATGTTTATGTAAAAAAATAACATCGAAATATACTGAAAAAAAAAGAAAGCTAGAGATGAGATAAACACCCGTACACCAGTAACGTTACTATGATATCGATGTATCATGATCTTCATTTGTTAATGCTGAAAAAGGATAACAATCCGCAGTCGACTTGAAAGTCCTGACTAAGAAAAACAGTTCGCCCAGCACCTATTTGCTAACATTATACTGAGGAAAGTTGTTGCCTGAGGACACGAGGGTAACTGTGGCTTGTTAGTTATTCACTCAAAGGTTTACTGATTTTCCATCAACATATGTTCACACTTTTAACGGAGGGAGATCTGGAATCAACAGTATGAAGGGGGGGAGGGGAGGGGGGAGGGAAGGGGGCTGTCGCGAGACTTACCCCGGATGAGGCGGACCGAGAGCTCCTTAATTCTGCTAGTTGGTTTCTAAGCTGTGTGATGGTATCCTGCATGTCTGTCATTACCGCTACATTCTGACTGGTTTGTTCCTGGTGAAACTTAGCCTCTTCATCCAGATGCTGTTGTAACCGCTCATATGCTTCAGCTAAGTCATTGTACTCTTTCAGCAACTTGACATAGTTGGAGTCCAGGGATGTAGTATCACTAACGTCAGACTTCTAGAAATGGGAAACAACATGCAACCGTGTTCAGGGGTCAATTGAATAAAACTTTTACAAGTGTAATTTACAACTGTAGCCGTTGTTTTAGTAAAAACAACTGTAACTATAAACTTTGAAAAAAGATACATGTAAATATGAGACTTTGTTTAGCATAATAAAATGTTATATTGCACTCGGCTGATGTTGCTGCAGCGAATGCCGCTATCGTTAGCACAGGACAGCGAATTTTATTATGGTATTACCAATGCCAGCCCGCACTGCTTTTGATGCTGCCACTGTCTTATTACGTGCACTGCCATTACAGTTTGCCGAAGCAATTGCCGTTGCCATAACTACTGCCATTACTCCATGAACTTCCCTCACATTCCCGCAACACAGTGGCTGCTATTAGAATTTGCTTATTTTCAAGATGATATTACTTTACCTTGAAACTCTTTGGTCGCCATTCCGACCCGCGATCACTTGGCTCTGTTACTGATTGTTGAGAGGTGGTAAGACCTACACTCCTCGTCTCAACAGCAGTGGAGCTTGTAAGATGCTGACTCGACAATATACTGCCCAGCTGACTTAGCACCTGACACAAAAACCATGAATAATAAAACTGAAACTTCGTTTTCTCACAGTTATAAAGCACCTATTACTAGAACTAACGATTACAACCTGTTTAAAAAGCTCCACTACTAGCTTCCGATGATCCAATCTGGAATTCACCACAGAGGTTTCCAATGGTTGACCTTAACTCAAAACGTTCCCTGATATTACCAAATCGCTACCACTTCAAGACCTTATTGCATGCCATTCAACTCTCTACCTTCCTTTTTCTACTAGCATAATATCAAAATGGACGTTTCTTCCTTTCCTTAGCTTGTCACGTCTTGCACGAAAAGCTACGTAGTAGCATTGTAAGGAATGGAATGATCATTATCACTCACCTGGGAAATGTTGCTACGTATCTCTGGCATTCTTTCAATTATTTGCATCGTATCTTCCTGATAAAGAGAAAAAAACAAAAACAAATCACAGTTCGTTTGTTGATAGGTCGTCAGTCACTCTGTATCGCAATATTACTATACCTATTTACATGCACGTTTGACAAATGTTGAGAACTGCACTAAAAATACGACAAGTAAGGCGTCTTCATTGTGGTGCAATCCCAACCCCACACAATTCTCTGTAACCTCATACGATCACAGCTTTGGTGAAGTATAAAACAATCAAAGGTATTATCACTCATCCCACTAGGATTAGAAACTTCCCAGCATGACGTTGCTGCTGACAATTGCTACAATAGATCTAATAGACGCAGGATTAAACCTAAAAATTGGCCCATCTCGCCTTAAGCAACTAGCAACACCCTAATGGTGTCTGGGAGGTCATGAATTCCCCCAACAGGGGTTCACATTTTCTCTTTACCTCAAGGTCGTGAGAAAAGGACCATTACACCTTCATTACATAGTAGTACTAGACAATGGTTGGATCAGACCAGGAATCGATCATCTGACTGAAGTTTTATCAACTGAGAATCTGATCAAAAGAAGCTCACGTACGGTACCTTGTTTAGCATGACAGGTTTCACGCTTCGAAGCAAATTAGCTTCTTGACCAAGCCCTTCCTGTACCAGCCATTGGACCATGTTATCAACAAACCGCAGCACTGCCTCATAAGTCTTAAGTGTTTCCTGAGCCACAGGGTGGTCATTAAGAGCGGAGTTTATCAGCCGCCTTCGAGCTCTAGCACTCATCACTGGTCGACTCCTCTCAGGTGGAGAAAGCATCCCCGCTTTAGGCTCCCCAGAGGCACTCTGTTAAGTAAAGACAAGTTAATAACCTTCAAAACATTCTAATAGCATGATGCAAAGACATACAGACTAAGATAAAAAGAATAGAAGGGACAAAGTTTTTTTAAAGAAAATATCATTAGAGATTACGAATCACGTTCACCCCAAATGTCAATTTGGATTATGTGAGCAAGTTTTACCTTTGCTTACTGTTTCCTTTCATTATATCGACTCAAAAACAAGTTGGTTCACGCCAGTGATATCCATGAGGACTATTTTAGACAAATGAATGGTCCAAATTCGTTCTCCGCAAAACACCGAGAAACTGTTTTCTGGATCAAGAGGGGCCCGTTATTTTAGTACATAGGACAGTCCCTAAACAGCCTTTTCTCAATGTTATTACAAAGCCTTACATATATTATTACATTCTTAAAAGCTGACCTGCAAGACTTGTCACTCAGGGTCCAAACTGCCTGGGCACGGTTAGTATGTTATGATCTATACCTGAACACACGCTGATACAGCGATATAAGAGGCGAGTTTAAACGTCACGTATACGACAAACGGAAAACGTCAGATTCAAGATGAGAATTTCTCAAAATTGAAAATGAACAAATAAAAGCAGCCCAAAAGAGTTCTTATGGATAGAGAATAGACAGTATTCGTATTCTCCGACAGTCCTGGGACGAGTAGGCCTAGATCATGAATGCGAGGCTCACGCGGGGAACTTCTCGCCAAGAGGACAAACAAATATGAGAAACAGCGGCTGAGTTTGCCGAATTTAAGGAAAATTCTTAACATTGTAAAGTTCCGAAGGGCTTACACACTTGAGAGAGATCATTATTTCAAACAACAAAGGAAGATCTGCTCATTATTACTAAGAAATTATAATTATATTGATGAAAAGAGTGCTAATGGTCAGCGAGTTTATAATTTAATATAAACAGAGATGTTCTCAAAATCCCCGATGACATTTTAATTGTAATTTTCAGTGTCCTTTAAACTTTTTGAAGAATAACTTTTATTGAAATGGACGTAATTATCGGAAGCCTGCGATAACGTTAACAGTGATGTTATCACACCTACTTTGCAGTTGAAATTTTCTAACAGAGCGGATGCAAAAGCTTGAATGTGTATTTGAAGTAACGCAAACGACTCATTCAGTGGATAATTACTTATCAGGACGGCGCTTAACGTTTTGCACACAGTCCATGTGCATTTTAAGGAAGTTAAACCGGTTTGAACAAAGATGACTAGGTAAAATTTATTTTTAAGTTTCAGTTACATTACGGATAACAACTGTGTGAGAGTACAAAAACGTGCGCGCAGTTGAACACAGAGTTTGGTACAGACGATAATACTGAGCAGTTTAAACTCCACACTACAGATACACACAAGAGGAAAAGAATAATAAGAAGAATAAAATTGTATAAAAAAAAAGGAGAAAAGGAGTCGAGTATTGACATTTTGACACAATATACCATTTTCTTGATTACTTCCTGTTTCTTCTTTTGGCTTCGTAGCTTTTTAAATTTTGCTGTTAGTACGACCAGCTCTTCTCACAGTTTTGTTTTTTGAAACATATATCCCTTTAGCTTACCCGTAAGGTTTCAGCTTTTAAATCTTGCAGTTTTTTGCTGATTTCTATCGTTTTGAAGCGATTCAGCCGCGACTAACCAATGTTTGTTTGTGTTCCCCGCTTTAGCCTCGCAATCATGCTGTGAAGTCTCTCGTCCCAGGGCCGTCAGGGAATACGAATATCGTCTATTGCGTGAAACTACTAATTTAGGTGTAGAAATAATAAACAGTAACGACAAGTAAAGGGGAAACTTGGTCACCTGGTACTAATTTGCGTTCGCCGTTTGACGTAAACGTGATGCTTAACTTCTCAATAGACGTGCAGCGACGTCTTTGAGCGACGCAGATCAAACGGAAGTAAGGCCTTGTTCCTTTTAATATGCCTTGCCGCAACCAAATTTCTATTGCAAAGTGTCTCTACTCTTATTAAGAGGATTCGGCCGAAAATGCAAACGTTCACTTTCCGTTGACGTGCATTCGCTCAAAAACGTTCTTGCTTAAGCTCCCCAATTCTATGGAAGATGCAGTTCAGCGCTTGTCCCATCTACAAGCCAACCTAGCAGTTCAGTACCACATACAATACTTACATCATCAGTATCAATTTTGGGGATAACAGCAGCACTTGAGCTCGGTCTTGACTCGAATTTCAAGCTTGACGAGGCGCCTTCAAAGCCGCTATCACGTGGGCTCTGTCCCCTCGCAGTTATTTGGTCGGTCTCTGTTGCAGTGTCTACAAACTGAGCAGAGGAACGGCGAGAGGACTGACTTCCAATTGAATGATGTCTATTAGGATCAACGGCCTGACAATAAGATTAAAAAGTAAATGAGATTAGTATAATTTGCAATGAGCCAATTCAGGCGTTCTGAAATGAGGTCGTGTTCCCCAAACTCTTTGATAAGATTTTGTCTTCGCGTTCCCTCCAATTCGGCCTAAGTCACCTTTGTTCAGCAGTTGGACAGCGATAGCTACCAAACCCCAGTCCTCCAAAAGGTGGACAGCTTTTCCCAACGGATAAATCGTTACCCAGCTGATAAGAATTCGTCAAACCTGTTAAAGGAGCTGTGTCAAGAAATTCAGCCAAATTAGGAAATTACAAAATGCCCGTTAAATTAAGAGAAACATAAAAATAACCGCTTTTAAGCGGTTAAAAAACTTTAAAGGAAGGTTAAAATAACTTATTATTCATTCAAAAATAATTTCCCGATTCTGATTGGCTAAAAGCACACGTTCAATTCACCATAACCAGTTACTGATGACCAAATTTGGAAGAATTTTGTGTTTAACGAGGAAATGACGTCAAAAATGCAGCGTTTTCGCAGGTTAAGGCACCGTTAACCGAGAAGACCTGGGGACGAGGTTGAGTTGTTTTGATTGTGAACTTGAAAAATGGCGGACATTTCACTCGTTTCAAGAGTAAGAACTAGACGAACCAATAGCTAAAAACATGGCAAGAACAGGAAGAAGACAACTCGAAGGACGAGGTCTTCTATTTGGAGGATATCTGCGGAGCTGGACAAACCTAAAAGTGCACTATCGGAGATGAACTTAACATCGATGGATCGATGGAGGTAAGTATGTTTTAGCCATGTTTTTAAACTAGGAATAATTTTGAATGAATAATAAAACAATTATTGAATTCGGCTCTCGTATCATATGAAGAATTATGGGGATCTCAGAGGGTGTTATCCGTCGAGGCCGTAACACCCTCCTCGATCTCGATAATTCTTCATAAGATACTCAGCCTCATTCATTAATTGTTAATTAACAGAATTAACAGATGCCGCGGATGGGCAAAACTGAAGAAGATTGAAACGGATTGAAATTAGGGTTTTGGAAAAATGTTGGGCCTAACAGTTTTTCAAAGTTGATCTCTGCTGCTTGAAACTTCAAAAATAATGCTCAAGAGACATATTTGTTTGTCTCGGATCTCTGATTTTGTAATTTACCTGTAATTTCTTTGCTTACTTTAAGTTCCATAGCGATTGAGGGCGAGTAATTGGCAAAATTAAACAAAATGAGCTGGACTGCCGTGACACAGCCCCTTTAGCCACTTTTTGAACAACCGGGGCCAGATGTTAATAATTCTACAGAGGGTTGGTGATGCTAGAGTATGAGCTGCTGTACCTGTACCTGATCCTGGTCTCTTTCTATGGACATGGAAGTCATTGTTTGTTCCTCTCGCATGTTCGCTAAAGACTTGCTTGTCATTGTTTCTTGTTCTTGTTTATCAAATGACGATCCGTTCGTCATGGTTTCCTCTTCACGTCTATCATACAGAGACAGTCCAGTCATGGTCTGCTCTTCCTGTCTGTTCTGCAGAGCTTTCTCTTTTACTCGTCTCTGTGAAAAGAATCATTAATCAGCCAAATCAATTGAATTTAGGTAGGTTTCGACCGTACTGTAAACATAATCTAGTAACGACATCCTGAGTAGTATCTTACCATTTCCTCCTGTTCTGCAAGGACCTCTTCCTGTGAGAAAAAGAGATTACACCAGTTAAAGTGTGAATTCAGAGACACTGTATCACAGCATGCATGCGCTCTGATTAGCTGGGCAGTTAGAATGACTAACACAATTACTAAAAACATCGTATTACTTTGCTGATTATTGTAAAGACATACAATACGCAGACTTATCGCTTAGATCTACATGAACTGACCAAGTGTTGAGTCTTTCTGCAGGTAATGGTAGACATTACATTTCGTTTTACTTTCGTAAGTTTGTATTAAAAGTATCGTATGTACAACGTACTCTAATGCGTAACACAGAGAAAAGAGGTACATCCGAGAATCAGTAAAATCGAAAGAAATTGGAATGACGTTTGAGTACTTATGCCTGCTCATATTGAACGAGAGATGTTTGTTATATTAAATGAACAACTCTCTTGGAATGAACTTTGAGACTCTCCACAATAATCGTTGCTCACTCCTATAGCATTTGTGAAAAACACTACGCTAAACGTCAGAAACATAATAAGACTGTAAGTTTATGTCCCATTTTAGAAACATAGGTTAAATACCAAGACGAAATTGAATATAAAATATCATCTAGGAGAACTCACCAGCTGCAAAACGGCCTGTTCCGCCTACAAAGAAATCAAATAAGTGGACAATGAACACAAACTTACTTGCAATATAAATAATCAAGACCTACTGTAAAGTACTGGCTTTTATTCAACATCAGTCTCATTTTGTTTGTTTTAATACTCAGTTTTATTTAATGAGTTGCTTTGAATCAGTCTTCTAGATTCTCAGAAAGAGGATAAGCAACGTTTGGTCACACCATTATAGCTGACATCTAACAACTTAAAACTATTAGGAGGCTCGCATAACTTTCAAAGGACAAGTTTAGGTCAATTTAGCATTGTCGGATGTTACATGTTGCGTCCGTTTGCACATCCTGTTGTATGTTGTTGAGTGTTGATGGGAGTTGTTGCGCAAAGTTTGAAACAGGTCAAACGTTAAGCTTCGTGCAAACAGACGCAACAACTCCCAAGATTACTGGGCCAGCAATGTTGGGAGTTGTTGCGTCCGTTTGCACGTAGAGTAAGAGTTCATACCTCTTTTTCTGCCTGTTCCTGAATACAGAAATAAGAAAAACATAAATGAAGGTTAACAGAGAAGATGGCAAGTCTCAAGATAAGAGTGAACTGCGATTGCCATTACATACACTGTGTTGTAATGAATTGGGCCAAGGGCGAATGATAACAGAAATACTAGTTGAACGCAATTTATATAAAGGAACACACGAACAGAAATAAAAGAACTGACAAAAGACGGGTAATACACCTTAAAACAAGCAGAATATTGCGGACGATTAAGAGTAGGTGGATCAGAAAATAAAAGAAAACAAACTACAATATCAAACTTACTTTGAGTAACTCAGCATCCTTGATTCTGTTGAGCATGGCTTCTTTTTCCTATTTTCCGTAAATAGGACGGGTATAATTTACAATATAAGCATCTACCTTAGAGATCGAGTATTAAATGTAATATCAAAAAGAATAAAACAAAAATACTTACCTTTTGAAAGTTGTTTTGAAACTCTTCATTTTGTTTTTTCAGGGCATTTGTTTTCATCATATACTACGGATAAAAGCAAACAGACCATGCGTCTGAAAGTGTCAAAATCTCTAGCGACTCGAAAGGAATTTTTAAGCTACAAAATCAATGCTTTAGAGGTAAGAAATCTATCACCGAGTAACAACGTAATAAGCTCTGGTCATTACTGATGGCCGACCAATCAGAAAGAACAAATAAAAAAAATCATGACAAAGGTCGTACCTTGTTTTTTAATTCTGCAAGCTCTAACTCTAACTTTTTCTGTCTTTCCTGTGCCTGGAATGATACAAAGAAGATAAGGTGTAGTAAATGATAAAAAAACAAAAGAAATAACAGAATCTGATATTTGTAACCGGATTTTTTCAAAGGTCCATGTGAATACATGGATAAATAAAGTTGATACCTTAGCCTTGTAATCCTCTAACTTTCCAATGAGATCTTCTTTAGATATTGATTCCTTCAATAAAAAAAGACGAATAAGTGCAATGTCACCAAATACACCATATTTCAAGATGGCGTCAAGTTATGTTATTCTTTTGTCTTTATGATACCTGGCCCTCGATGCCTCTAAATCTAAATCTAACACTGTGAAAGGCTACCACATGGGAAAATTTGTGTACAGCGAACGGTCAGCGGCTATTTAGTCATAATAATGGCTTTTACAGATTAAATCGTTGATGTCTTGGTCTCACATAAGGGAAGACTTAAGGCATTCTTTAAAAGAAGTGTTCCGAATCAATGTTAAGGGGCAGATGGTTCCACTCTGGGACCGTGCAAGCCAAGAATGATGCTCTTACAACTTGCTCTAAAACAACCTGCTTCAAATCAAGGAAAAATTTCTTTTGAATTCTGCCAAAGCCAAAGAAGGTAAGCAAAGAGGGTCAGAGTAATTGACATAAATATAAAAGAAGAGTAGTTTGCCCCCATTTTGCAACAAGGTGTACAAGCTCCTTGCTTTCTGGAGTAAATAAAGTAATTACCAATTCATCGTCCTCGTGTTCTTCTTCTGGTACCGCTTCAAGCAAGGATGGTTTCCTATCAGCTGTGATAGGGGCACTTAACTCAGTGTCACTCAAGTCTTCTGTTTCACTCTGAATCCCAACGTCCACCATCTCAACAGAGGTTGTAACTGCAAAATGAAGGATAAGGAAATGACTTTCACCATAGCTACACACGTATATGGCTCTAAAGGAGTGGCTTCTATAACACACGTCAAAAATGCAAACAAGTCTGCAACATTTAATAGAGAGCCGGCTTGCAATGAGTCCGCAATAAAATAAAACAAAACATTCACATAAACCAAGATGCTTAAAAGAATCAGTTCAGAGCGTTTCCACTGCGTTCCAAATCTTTTGAGAAATGGTGATGTAAGGTTCGAGATAGAGAAGGATCGATCTCTTTTCCTTTCTCTTCTTTTTTTAATCATAACATCGTAATAAATAAGGTTTAAACATAAAGGAACATGTTAATCCTAAATTGGAAACAAATTCTTATAACACATCCACTTCTTTTAGCTACACGTACCCCCTTCTAGTATACCTTTTTTAGGAATTAAGTTACCTTGAACTAGTGTTGAGTCACTCTGTTTCTTTTCTGAACTACCCTCTCCTCCCACCGACTTCTCCAATGGTTCCACGACAGCGGGGGGCTTGTCAGGAGACTTAGATTTGACAGGTCTATCAGAAGTTTCTTTTGATGATTTCTCTTTCTTGCTCTTGTCATTTTTGGATCCCCTCCGAGAGAGAGATACTTTACCTTGCACGCTATCACTGGTATTCTCTCGAGTAGCTTCAGTAGATGGCGATGCTTGTGAACTTGGAGCCTTGGCGTTACTTTGTGGGGTTGATGCGTTGTCACTTTGCTCTGAGCCTGATCCTGCATCACTCTGCAAATGAACAAAATATGACAAAAGAAATCGTTTTAATAAATTCATTACGTGGTCTTGATCCTCGCAGTGGTACAATTAGCTCAGTTGGAAAAGCGCTAGTGCATAGCAAATGTCTCCGGCTGGATGGCCGGACAGACCAAACCTTAAAGACTTAAAATATCATCTGAGGGCGAAGGCATCGCCTTATACCTGAAAATAGAAATGACCGTCTATTCTCCAGATAAAGGGATGCAAAAACAGTGTTCTCAAGCAAGCTTTTAGATAGCTAGAACATCGATGCTTATAAATACAGCTTTGGATGTGTCAACCTCAAAAGAGTATGCGTCAACCTACACCGTAAGACAGGAGTCAACCGAAACAGCATCCAATAAATGAAGAATATGACTGAGGATGACGTTGACTGGAGACAATCCTAAGCTATCACGGATTACTGAAAGCTTTGATTTGGGAAATGAACGCTTTGAAGTGTTCACAAAGTAGACAGGCTTTTTGGACCATTCTAGGAAGTGTAGTATAATGCAAAATAGCACCGTTGACCTTCTTGAACTCAATGAAGTCAACTAACATACTGTTGAATTGCTTTACAACGTGTATATTGTTTTCCTTTAACACACGTTCTTTGAACATTCATAGTTTTAATCGTTGCCTTAGTTGTCAAGTCTCAACAGAAGAATCTGAACAGATCTTCGGAAAAGCACGCAAACTCAAGTCTTCAATCAAAAACGAAAATCTCCACCCCACAAGGAGTATACAATTTTACAGACACATCATCTCAAACAAACACTATTCTTAATGAACCAAGTACTTAATAACGTACCACTCAAGGGATATGCAAATACTTACCATGTTTCTACCCTTGTTCAAGAACCTGACAGCCTGCGCTGAAGATTTGAGGGACAATTTACGAGGGGCTTCTCCACCATCAGAACCCTCTGGTGAAAACAGACTGCTCCTTTTACTTGAGCCAGATTCAGCTATTAGTGAATTACGTTTGCTGGAATCCGACAACTCTGACTTGAGCTCTTCACTTTTTCTTCTCGCCTGTCAAAAGGAAAGTGTAATTACTTCGACAGTTGTTTGTAGAATAACTGTACAGCAAGTGCGACATGCACGTCGAGCTAGCCACGCAACATCTCTCACGTACACAAAACTTAAGCGAACCAAACAACAAAACCCCCGAGATGTTAATATGAAATCCTTCAATTTGTACTAATATCAGTCTTTATGCAGTCAGTGTATGTTCAGACTTGATCATTTCCTCCTGATGGTTCCCAAAGAGCGATACTATTATCTCTCTGTTGATAGTGACACTACACAAAGTATTTTTGTTACTATAATTTGTCACACTGCCTTGAGTATACATAAAGTTTTTAAGCACTACTGAATGTGGGCGTAGAAATAAGGATGAGTGTTATGTGCAGCAGATTTTTTTGACACTGTTAGCTAAGTGAAGGACATGAAAAAACAAACAAACGAAAATATGTTCACGGCTCCAAAGCAGGAAAACAGACTTTCTTGGTATTGTGTTTTAGCAAACCTACCACTTCAAGTGCTTTTTGCATCCTGCTGATCTCTACTTTGTGGTCATCTCTAAGCTGTGTAAGTTCTCTCTGATGGCTTCCTACAAGTTCTTTAACTTGAACGTCATAATGTTGCTTTAATTCTAGAACAGCATAAGTAGAAAGTTTACCACAAAATACCAAACTATTTCTAAAATAGCAAAAAAAGCGATGAAATTTTCTAATATTATCACTCTACACAGTCAGACTAAAGGAAGAAAAGCTGTTTCACGTAAATCAAAAGGTTAGCGTTATTGTATGAAGCATTTAGTACCACTATTCCAAACCTTTATTTCCTTATGCATACCTGTTCTTAAATCTGCTATGTACTGCTGTTGATCGCGGATTTTTTCCTCATAGATATCCTTTGATTTCTGAAAAAAAAGAAGAAATATTTACTGTTGACGATTATTAATTTGTTGATGACGTTAGTTTATGGAGACATTGTTGCTCGAGCTCTCAAAGACTATCAAATAATTTTATAGGAATCAAGCAATGATGCCTGTAGAAATTGGCTAAAATAATGACTAATTTATGAAAGTCCTACAGGGAGAACAATGAAATTTGAAGAGGATCATAATAATGGTAGTCATAAGTGCAACTTTTGTAAATGCAAAAAGAATGCCTTGTACAGGAAGGCTGACATTTTTCAGGCCGATTTTTTTCAGGCTTTCTTTTAGCCACTGCAAAAGATAGGTCTATAACTGTGATGTGACTCTCACGTGACGCTGTATATGAACTGCACTGACGTTCCACAAATTCATGTCATAACTTTTAAGTTTAATTTAACTGTGATGTAATGTAGACTTCAGTTGGTAAGAGTACTCTTGATAGGAAAAAAGTGTGAGATGATATGGAGAGGGAGAGGAACAGGAAAGATAAGGAAAGTAGGTGGAAGGCTTGCTCCCCCCCCCCAAGCCCGAGGGGGGGACTCCGCATATGAAAGGGGTGGGATGCTCGTCGGAAATTTTGAATTTAACCCCTAAAGGAGACCAATCTGGGCGTGGCCCAACGCTTTTTTGACCCCTGAAAGCTATCATTTTGAACGTTGATTACATGAATCGAGTGAATAAAACGAATTGAAAATACATAATTTTTTAATATTTCTTCAAGTGCAACCCTTAAAGAGACCTTTAAGGCTAAATATAATGGTGTTTTGCCCAGAACACCCTAAGCGAGACCAAAATCTGAAATTTACACCCCTAAGCGAGACAACGAGCATCCCCACCCCCTTCATATACGGATTCCCCCCGGGCCCCAAAGCCCTCTTCCTTCTCTGAATGCCACAATAGACTCTAGCACAAGCCTATACGTGGCTAGAAAAGCCTAGCAATTGCCAGCTTGCTAAGAAACACTCGAAACAGTGGGTTATGACTGACTATTAAAATAGACTATTGTGCTGAAAAGTGAAAAAAAAAATAAAGCAAAACTAACAACAAATATAATCCTTGATGATGGTACTTCTATTTGCTGTAGAATAAAGTTATTGTTAAATAATACATGTATTAGCAGTCTCAAGAAGCATTAATATTAGAAGAAAACGAATATTTTATTCAAGTGGAGGCAAGATTCAAAACAATTTTTCTTTATGATGTACATTGTAAGAATATAAATTTATCCATTACCTCAAAAATAACTGAAACAGGTGTAAAATTCTATTTTACTCATGATATGGTAAAGAAGGCATGGGAAATAACTCTGTCTTAGGACATGCCTCAAAAACCAAGCAAAAGTAGAAACAGGCAGGATTAATGTTACCTCACTTGTCAGCTGGGAGGGTATGTCAGCCAGACCTTTACTTTCCAAGCCTTGAGTTGATCAAGGAAACATGCGTAACCTTTTTTATAGAGTATGCACGCAGCAGCCATGTTGGAGGAGTAAAATAATAAAACGATTTCCTTTAAGAAAAAATTTCATTTTCATTGTTTTCTCCTCCAATATGGCCGCCGTGAACAGACCCTATAGTCTCATTTTGATTTTGCATAATCACTAGTGGAATGAATTTTTTTTCTTTTGGATACTAGAGACTGATTATAAAGCTTAAGTCAAGAAATCCCATGAACCTCTTCAATCAGGCTGCTTAATTTCATTATAGAAACAGGCAGCAAATAAATTATAGAAACAAGTTAAAAAAGAAATATAATTATAAAGTTGTTATCATCATTACATTTTCTACACTTACAGTTTGTACTAAAAACAGTAAGGTTTGGTAACAGTACAATGTGTGCGAGTTACTTTTTGGGTGGAGGGAAGTGAAGACTAATTTAAGACATACAGTCATTATTTAAGAACTGAAAAGGTGCATTGCTTTCTTGAAATAACTCAAATTCATTATTCATCATTACCTGGTTGTCCTCTCGTACTTTCTTGTGTTTTTCAAAATCCCTTTCTTGTTTGTCTTCTAGATGAGCTACACTAAGTTCCAAGTCAGCAATTGTCTAAAATGGACACACATACATGTGACATGATTTTGCAAGATGAATTTCACAAAAACATTCCTGAAGTTGTATAAGTTTACCACAGAGAGGGTGTAAAATGTAACAAAAACAAAATAATTAAGACTAAGGTCAAATTTGAACCAACTTGACTTTAAGCCCTGTAAGTACAGCTGTAAGCCTAATTAAAATTAATGGCAGTTAACACTTCCATGTACTGTGCATGTACATGTACCTTGGCCCTGATAATTCTGGATATCACAAAAACTTCACTCAAATACATATTGTATATTGTTTATAACAAGTGAAATTTGTATTATTGTGGACACCTTCCCTACTCTCACCAGTTTACACTCAAACAAGTGCCCTCTAAATACAGGAAATATTACAGAGGTGAGTGTCAGCTAAATACAGGGTATCCTGTTAACACTTGGAAAATCATGAACATCAGAAACATTTAACGAAATGTATAATTATTGTGTTAGGCTGCCTGCAAAAGGACACAATATTGTTGACCAACACCTCCCAACATTGTTGGATGTTACATGTTGCATCTGTTTGCACACTCTGTTGCATGTTGTTGGATGTTGTTGCGTGTTGTTGTGCAAAGTTTGAAACCGGTCAAACTTTTCAGCCAACAACTCCCAACATTTCTTTTGCTCCTTGATTGCTGAAGCGTAGCGCAACAATGTTGGATCCGTTTGCACAGCTCTTCCAACATCATTGGGGCCGCGCATGCTCATTACGCATGGTTTACAAAGACTTATGGGTTGTATCCTTCCCACGATGCACTGCAGGTCCTAACATTGTTGGGAGTTATGCATCCGTTTGCACACCACTGCCAACATGCACGTAACAACTCCCAACATTGTTGGGGCAACATTGGGAGTTGTTGCGTCCATTTGCATGCAGCCTTACAAGGAAAATGTTGAGTGAGAAGTGTGAAAACTTAAACAACAAGCAGCAATGATAACCAGTTTGTGGTTTTATTGTGCGCTTATGATTTCTGAGCTGCAATATTTTGATTGGCCAATCTACAATACACAACCATCATCCTTGAAATATATCAGTTGTTGATTCTCTCCTGAGTTTGACAGGATACTAAAACTAGCAACCTTTTGCAGAGTGAAACTTTCACAGACAAGTCATCCAAGACAGCCAAGAAAATGCAAAAACACAATCATGTAACTACAGTGTATAACCAAAAATCTCCACTGAATTTTAATGTATGTCCCATACCCATCCAATCATTTCAGTTGAGGTGGTGATGTCACTTTTTTCCCCATACCTACATTGTATCTCAAAATTTTGCCTTCTGTCTATGCCCAAAAAAATGGAAACTGAAGGCTGTAAATAAATTATTTGGACTTGTAAGCAATATTTCACCATGCGTAGTTTTGCTTCTTTGTAGCCACATGGCCAGAAAAAATTTCGACTAGCTTCAAACAGCTTGTCTGTTTGGCAAAAGCTCAAGGGCAAGTTGGTTAAAAATACAAAAGTGATTGGAAATGCAATAACACTTAAAAATTTAGACCCACTCAGGTCTTACATGTATTTTCATACTCAATACAGACATAATTTTTTTTTTCAAATGACCTGCCGCCCTTTTCCTAGGAGTCTGACAAAGATAGAGAGTTTACAAAGGCATCAAAAACTACATGTACTATACATGCTTTAAAAAATAATAACATTTAAATTACCTTATGAGCTCTTTGAAGATCTGTTTCCTTTACAGCAATTTCAGTTTTAAGTTCCTTCACTGTCTCAGCTGCTTTCTGTATACAAAATGAATAATACAGGGAGTTGATACTCATTAATTTCACCACGAATGAAAATAACTGCTCATGGTGAATCACACACAGGATTAATCAACTATGTTAAATAATAACTCCTGGGTTAGATCGATTGGGTTTAATGTATCAATATCCTTCTGGTACTAATTTTCATTAAATTAAACCACAATTAATAGATATTGTACTGAATGGACTGATCTAGAACTCAGCTTGGTTCTTAAACGCTACTAACTACATGAAAAGGGAATTAAAACGAATGAAGAAGAACAAAATTTCACAGAATAGTAAAGAGTTACATTGCAAAACTATAAAATCACTTACTTTTGCATTTTCACCTTGAACTTTAAGCCTGCAACAGATTGAATAAGGAATTTATAACATAAACCTCTGGTCTGTTAATCAACTTGTGTGAACTGATATTTTTACAGTAAAATGCTATGAATTTTCATAAATTCTATTACATGTATACAGTACATGTATCAGACGTGAACAGGTGCTAGTTAATGTAGACCAAGAATACCTTTCAATTTCCACTTGTTTCATTTCCATGGATTTGTACATTTGAGACATTTTCCCTTCACTGTCTTCAAGATCTGCAATAATATCATTCAGAAAAATTATTTCAACAACTTATACTTTTTTTATAATATATTAACACTCAGACGTGCAGTTTCTGATGGGCACTGATCGGGGGAAGAGCATAATTTGGTAAACTAGGAAATCTTAGTTTTTAATACAATTATACAATTTCATACAATTCATATGATTCATGCATCCTGGATTTTCCAGCTTTTTAGTCTTGAATTCCCTATAATTTCAGAGTACATGCAGCTTGGAAATGTAACTTAGATGCCTCAGGCTCCTGATTGCAAAAAATCCTACAGATAAAAATCCTACATGATGACACAATATGAATAATAATTTAATAAATAATTTATTCACTTCTATAGTGCAAATTCAACTCAAAGTTTTCATAAATCCATGTTGGATATTCACTTCCCTTCCCTTTGTATTATCAAAAAACATGTAAATATAATGCAAGATAAGTGTTATAAATAATGCAAAAAAGTAATTGACAGATAACTTTTATAACTCTTATCTACCTACCATTTTGAACCCTGATTAACTTTTCTGTCAGTGACATAATATCATGTTGGGATTGTTGAAGAGCTTTCTCAAGTTTCTTTTTTCCTCTGGAATGAAACCACCAACAGCAAAATAGTATCAGATAAAATCAAAGTAAACATTGATCATAAGGAACACAGGCAGTGTACAGTCATGTTTATTGTAGGGAAACTACTCATCCCTTAGAATACAAAACAAGTAAATGCATGAACAATCAACACTATCTACAGAACTATGCATGCATGTACATATAGTTGACAATCTGCTGTAAGATTTTGATTTTATAAAGTTAAAAAAAAGCTTTTTTATGCTTGCAGTTATAATTATTAAAACATGCAATCATGTACAGTGTAAAATACATGTACACACACAAAGTCAAGTATAATGAAAGCTAAATCTACACATAAAAGAAAATGAAGTGGCTTTTATGTACAGCAGCTGAGTTTGTGCACAATCATCTAGCAAGGAATCATTTACACCACATTGTAGCATATGATTACTACTATACAGTCTTTTTGGCACAACAAACCTTTTACAGTGTAGTTCCTGTATGTTGGATTAGATTAGCACTCACAAACCTTTTTTAATATTAGTTTATAACATGCTATCACAAAAGAACAAAACCTCCCCCCAAAACCATTATTTCCTGTTTGGTAGCTATCTTCTAGTTGAAGTAAACCAAATGTGATAATAGTAGCAGAATAAAACCCACGAAAGTGAACAATTACTTCCCTACAGTGTTAAAATACAGTTGATCAAACACTATAGTTATTAATTAATTTGAACAAATAGACTATGAAGTGATAACTAACAGATATTAAATCACTCAAAAACTAACATACCCTTAATCAGCAGCTAAAGTAGCATGCAAACCTTGAGATTCAAAACCCTTGCGTTGTTAATTAACCAAATGGTTTGTTTATCAAGAAAACTGAAACCTGATAATCTGAAACCCGTGCTGACTACCCTTATGACCTCTTCCTTTCAAAGGGGTTTTGTTTAACTGAAATCAGAATGCTCTCTTGAAAATGCCTAGCAACTGTAGTGAAATTATCATAAAAACAATAAACTTGAAATACTGTCATGAGATGAGAACAAAGGAGCCAATTAATTATCATTGATTGTATGCATGCCATATCTTTCAACATCATTAAGGCAAAACTTAATAAGTGTCTAGAATTGTAGTAATAATAATATATATCTTTGACAGTCATTCAAGTCTAAAACTGAGTTATATTTGTAAATACCAACTAATGCCTTCAAAATTTGTTTCTTTGAAAAATAAACAAACACTTAAGTTTCATTGTGCTAGAAATAATTTATATTCAAGATCAAGCAACATTATATCATCACAGTTTTTGAGACCATTGTGTAATCGTCTGAGTTAATACAACTGACAATCATTCAAGTTTAAAGTTCTCTTTTTATTTTAAACGTGTTAAGAATTCTGATCACTTACTTTTTGGTTTCTTTAGGATTTGCTAATTCAAGAGCCTTAATCACATCTTTTGAAACAGCTGCCAGTCTTTCAGTTGCTTTTTCTGCTTTGTCCAGGGCTTCTCTATTAGGTAAACAAAAAAAAATATCACTATTAAACAGCAAATTCAAAACATTGTGTTAGGAGAATACGGTGGGTATTACCAATGTGTGTATGTTGTACATGCACATGTGTGGGGGAAGCGGTAGGGGCTTGGGATAAGAGAGTAGGGTAGCGGGTGGGGGGGGGGGTACTGCACATAACAGGAGGCCTTAGCTTCAAGAAAAGTGACACTGAATCAGTATAAGCCCATAAGCAGAGGTTTGGCAAACAAAATGCCCTTTTAAGGTGGCTCCCTAGAGTATTTACTAATAATCCAAGCTAACAAGCATACGTTACAGAAGGAAATCTAGTTACTTTGTCTTTGCGATTTTGTTCACAAGATTCACCGCTAAGGTTACCCATATAAGAAGGCTCCTTCATCAAATTTCATTTTCAGGATTAAGGCCGTTGCCATGGAAACATCACATCCTTAAACAGGCAGTAATTTTGTCATTTTTGCCCATTTTTCCTTAATATTTCTAATTTCCTGCGGTGAAATGTTTTAAACTTTGCCACTTTATATTAACAATATAGCTTAACATTTTAAAGTGGAAAAAACGTGGGGTCGTTAAGACGGTTTTGACAGTATTTTGAAATTTGTGATTTTTCTTAATAGAGGAGTTTAGCTCTTACAGATTTTGACAAAAAAATAACAGTACAAAGGTACTGTGACTGTTAAGAAATGAGGCGATTTTTAAAAAAATTTACCGAAGGAAACGCGAAAAATTCACGGTTAATTAACTGCTCTGACATCACAAAAATCCGAAAAACACGCGTGGTTCAGGGACATGTGAGCAAAATACGCGCGCAAGCATGACATGATGTTTTCTTTGAAGTACTTGACTACTGTGTTAAAATTCGAATCGTGGTGGTCACTCGTGAGGATGGTGATCGTCGGAGATGAAGACGGTGGTTGTGCAAGGATCGCAATAAGCCCTTCATTTCCTAATCTGCTGTACACTGTTTGCAGATCTTCAAATGTCAGCCCACTTCCGGATACTTTTTCAACCTTTTTCTTCTTTAGGGATAATTTTGATGGCAAAGTTTTTCTTTAAAAGTCTGCTGTAGAAGATGGCGCTGATCTATAAATCGTACATCATGTCCTCAGCTACACGTACAAGACCGCAGGTCTCGACGGACAACTATTGTTTTTGTCAAGGATCAATCTGTGAGTAAAAATTATTTCTCGTTATGCAAAAACATTTTCTAGTGCATCTTGCATGTGCGTTGAAGGACGTTTGAAACAAGTAAAAAAATACAAGGATGTTGGTTCGTCGATGGAAAGGTTCCTTCAATTAGGATGCAGGTTAAGTGGGAAACCTTTTTTCTGATAAGTTTTTTAAACATTGTGATAGAGTCGGCAAAACAAAAAAAAATTTACACTCCCTGTTATCTTGTCTTAAAGCCACTTCTAGAATTACTTAAATCAAATCAAATGTAAGAGAAATAAAGTGACTGAGGAGCTCCACCAGTGAAGACAATCTTCAGTGTTTGGTCGGGAATTGGCTCGATCTTTCAGATCTTTCCACTGACTGTGAACCAAAAGCCAGAAACAGCAACATTGCTTCCTTCTGGGTAAGTGTACTTACTTCTTTGTTTTCTAAGTAAAGTTTCCACTCACCATTTACTTCGACTATTTAATGTTTGTCTACTTTTGAAGCGAAAGAATTGATGTCTTTGGAAAATTTCTGCTTTGTTTTTACATACAATTTACTGTTATGGAGATCAATAGTGACTTGTAACCGGTGTAACATTGTCTCCTCTTATAAATGTTTGACCTACACTAATCAAACTAGCTTTTTGCACAATGAGCTTCAACAGAAAGTTAATAAAGTTTTTTGGTTGAAATATTTCAAAGTTTGTTTTAATTTTTGCATGGACATCGCGCGGATTTTAAAGCTCGCGCCATACTAGTGCTCAGGCTGCGCACGGCCAATTTACTCTAGGGAGCCACCTTAAGCTACAGTACAAGCATCTAAGCCATTTCTGTTCACCATGTAACACATCTGGACACAAAGAGGAACTATCCACGGCTTTGTTAACATTTATGAGTTGAAGCTATACTTGATTTTTTTTCATATTACATGTAATTGTCTCTTTTCCTGATTGTTGTTCAAAAAAGTTGTTCTTTTCTTCTTCTGTAATGTAAATGCATTTGATTTTGATCCATTTTCTCCAAAAATTGTTTCACAATTAAACACAAGGGAGCATAAGACAATATTAAATTGTTAAAAAAGTATGGTAAAAGTGGTTACTGAGTCAAAATTTTCATTTATTTTTTAATAGTGGTCAAAGTACAGTGTACAAGAATTCTTCCATGTAAAATCAAAATGCAATCTATGTTGCTGGGACCAGCTTAGGTAAGTGTATATATGTGCCTACAGGAGGTGCATGTTGTTTAGTGGAAGTGCCAACCGAAACATGGTTACATGTAAACGTGTACAAGAATATTATTTTTACCGGACATTAGCACCAACATATTCAATGTCAAAGTCTGGTGGTTCAACTTCAAAGTCTTCTTCCCCTCGCCCATTTTGAACAAAAAACTGAAAGGAAGATAGATTATATTTACAAAAGGAATAATAATAGTTATTATTGTACAGCTGTACATTCAAGTGGTTACAATGTAAATGCATAAATTTACTGCAGTATTAACTGAAAATACGTAACAAACATTAATAAAAGGGTACATGTACCTCTTGTAATTGGGCTAAAAGCTGCAAAAGAATGAAGAATGATATATATTAGAAGTACAAAATTAAATAAAAATGATTAAAGCATCAGCAAGAGAGAGGGGGGCTTTACATTTTAAGTTTTACTTTGAGTCTGAGTTTTAAATATACTGTCACCTGTAGCATAGTGAGCACATGAAGTTATCCTCTTAAAGGCTCCATTCCCCAAACAATTGATAAAATCTGAATGTCAGCACTTCAAAATACATTCAGCAACACCATACACAGTGTATTACACTGAAAATACTCTGTTGTGGTAAAATAATAATACACTGTACATGTATTGTATTTCACATGTAAAGGTGATGAGAAATAAGGTCTCAAGCCCGGTGGAAAGTGGTGGAAGACTTCAAACGAGATGAAAATAGCTGAACTACTGCAGCCTTAAAAAAATGACAAAGATACACTGTACATGTACTACTTAGTGGATGACAACTACTATAATTTAATTTATGAAGAATATCTGCTAGAATGAACAGTCCTTCCTGTCCTGAAACTGCCAAGGGACACACAGGTAACTAAATGGATTTTGAACACTGGAACTACACATAGAATTGAGCAGGTTTTGAGCTTGGAAATATTTTGAATGAATTAACAAAAAGAATCCAATTCATAATTGCTAAATATTAAAACGAACCCTTGCTCTACGGCCACAGAGGTTTTCAAATCCAACAATGAAAACAGCCACTTGTTGCTGATACTAAAAGGAAATAATAATATATTCACATGTAGATGCATCAACTTAAGTTGTTATTTAAACCAGCTAATGAAAAAGACCATTCATCAACACTTGTCATCCCAGATGTCATGCATTGCAACTGGAATTTTGGTGATTTGCTTGATAAAATGGTCATCAGTCACTGTCAACAACAACAGTCTTATTCAGGACCATGATCACCTGGACAATCAAACTCAACCTACTTTTGAAATGACTCCTGGGTTCAAACCTTTCACAGTTTTACATACAATGCTAGTCACATACGATAGTTGTAAGTATAAAATCGTACTGTCTAAGTCGGCCTTTAGCGAATCCAATTGCACTATCCAGGGGATAGAGATTTATCCAGTGAAAAAAAAATGTTTTCCACTTTTTGAACAACTGGGTCTGGAAGATTTTTTTGTGACAAATGAAATAAAAAACAAATTGCCAAAGGAGAGAGCCTAGGATTGAGAGCAGTCAAATGCACTTGCAAATCTCAATAATACATCAAGTTCTACCTGATGTACACAGTCAGTATCAATATTGAATGCACTATACCTTTCTCTTGGCCACTGGGTCTGACAATATTATAAGAAGCTGAGTCTGGAAAAGACAAACAAACACAGTCCTGAAAATGGGTTTAAGCTTAAACTGCAATTAATAATATAGGTTTTGGTGACCAGAAATACATGTACTTTCTGATGATTGTTGTGAAAAAAAAAAAAAATTCTTATTATAAACAATAATAATTTATTTATTTATTATTTATTATTATTACTAAAAATCAGTTAAGTGTTCTTGTTCTTGTTCTTCTTCCTGGAAGCACCCATCTCTTTAGTGCTGAAATGTTTAAAAACGATATTCTGGATAATAATAAATTTTCTTACTTTATACATGTAGACAAAGTTTAAGTCACCCATCATGCAAAGGGTTGTTGGAGAGAGGCTTTTGATTTAGTCCACTTACTCTTATTCAAGGTGACTCAGTGAAGGGAATCCAAAGTAATAAAACCAGAAAATATTTACTGAAAACCAGCGTTCCCTGAAGTTCCAGCGACTAGCAAAAGTTACTAACTACATGTAGTTTTCAAGGAAGTGCTGACTACTTAACTTGAAATAATACATCCATCAAACTTGCTTCTCACCATTTTCTATGGTGAACTAGATCAAAATTATATAGGAAAAAAAAGGGTGCCATCCTCATGGCTAATATTGTTTCCATGCAGTTTGCTAACAATGCACTGAATGAACTTTGCAGTAGTCCTGTGCCAAGCTCTTGGTCAGCGCAAACAAGCAAACAGAGTGGATGAACAGCGAAAAAGCAAGCGATGAAAATCAGTAGTTTTCATGCAACTTTTCTTGATCCACTTTCCCTACTATCTTCATGCCTGGGAAAGCTTACTTTGCAGGAACCTCAAGATAAAAGTTTGTCAGGGAAGGTGGGTCCCATACCTACCCACACACGTGGTTTTACTGCATGAGAGGTGTTCTACTCTTTTACCACCTACTTTTAAAAATCACCTCTACTTCAACTTTAACCCTTTAAGAGACCTGTTTCAAAAGTCGCGCTACTGCCATGCTAAGCTGGCTTGACTGTAGCTCAACTGCAGCATGACACTAGCACGACTTGGTTTCAGACATTGAATTTAGTTCAGTCAAATAACGATACAGTTTGGCAAACTTTTAAATGTATTCTAATGTATTTATAATTTATGAATTGAGTTTGGCATGGCAGTAGAGCAACATTTGAAGGCAAGTTGAGCTACGGCAGTGTAGCACGGCAAAGCTTGCCATGCTACATGGCAGTAGCATGACTTGGTTTCAAATGTCGCACTACTGCCATGCTAAAGTTGAATTTAATTCAATCAATTTAGTTCGGCATGGCAGTAGCACGACGTTTGAAACGCGCCTAAGCCCTGGATATCAACATGTTTATTCTCCTCCCTGCTGTCCATAATTATGGTTCTTGTTGCACTGTTTGAGCAACATTTTATCACTGCTGCTCCTTCCACTTATCCCATCCCAGTTAGGAGAAATTTGATGCTGGTCATTATCTTGAGGCTTCACGGGTTAAAGAATGCTACACTGTGACATACACCAATTCCCACAAAATACCGAAAACGAGTGGTACCGGTATACCAGTATACTCAAAATCATTAGTTATTTTCAGGTAAAAGACACCCGTATTACCCTCAAGCCCTGGCCGACCCTTCTTACTTTTGTCAGTTGTAAAGTCTGTTTCCTGTTTTACATTTTCCAAGCAGCATGAAGATCGCGTGCAGAAAATCAAAATAAAGCCTTCCTGAGGTAGAGGAAGCCATGATGCGTGTCAGGGAAATAGAATGCTCAAATGAGCTTGTGATGAACATATTTAAAAAAGCATCGTTCTGAGGTCAACTTGAGGCCATGTGTTGCCCTTTTAAGCGGTACGAAAACAATCTACGCCACGGACAAACAGTACGTTCGTGGCAGACATTGAAAACAAATACCTTTTCGAGTTACGAAAACAATAAAATGTTCTAAAACAAAAGAGTATTTTCCCGAATTATGACCTAAAAATTATGAACGCCTCTCGGGTCCCAAGAGGACGCCTTGCATAATGACAAAATGACTGCTGCGTATTGAAGCTGGGCTTATGACTCGCGCTATGTCTGTAATCAAAGATTAAAAGCTAGTTCATGCTTATAATAAATGTTTCGGTACATTAGAAACAGTCCTTCGTACCATATCATCCACAAATTCCAGGGTCGCTTGTTCCCTTATAAATTCCTCAGCGATTCGTTCTACTTCTCTTTCATCAAGTTGATGTCCGGATAATTTTTCGCTGAGTTCGTAAGAGTCTATAGTCTAAGAAAAAAGACAGAGATTAAAAATAAGCTCACAAAAGGATAAAAAAGAAAAAGGAGAAATAACGGCTGATCAAACTGCTTTTCTTACCCTTGTAACACGTTCGTGTATGCGGGTCAATTCTTCCTGTGTTTCCACAACATGCCGGATCGCCTTCTTCCTCGCGTTGTCTTTGAGTATAGCGAGCGCAGGGGCATCGCCACGTTCGGAAAATTCCTCTACCTCCAACATTGTTTACTTCTATAAGTAACTAACCCATGACCTTAACAATTATTTCGCTATCTTGAAGGAAACCGATAAAAAATATTGACTCCGAAATATGCAGATTACCTTGACTCCGGGTTGCTATATAAACTGCTTGTATGAAATTCAAAATATGTTGAGATACTCCCCTCTAGGGAGGGGTGCGTGTAAAGTACCCACAATTCCTGTTACTCGCGCCAGGCAGCACTTACCTAGGGAGTTAAAAAAAAAGTGATTACAGAGAAAGAAATTAACGTAAATTGCTTGGTTTATTTAATTGTTTCAACTCATGACGACACTTGGATTAATCCAGTTTTAAAGTTTAAAAAACTTTTTGTTTTTCAACTGCATAAGCAGGCTCCTCTTTAGCTTGTATGTTTTGTTTTCCCAATAGAGTTTCCGAAGAGTTCTATGACCTGTATTGGGAAAACAAAACCTACAAGCTAAAGAGGTCTATTGCATTAAGTTGGTCATTAAATTGGTTCGAAATTGAAATGATGAATATATGAATTCAAAGTGGGAATTGCGATGCGAGTGAAGAAATAAATGCAAAGGAGATCATCAGAGTGTTGGCTTGCTAGCTCGGACAGAGCACTGCACCCGTATGCCAGTGAAGTCAGGGTTCAACAAGCCTGAATCTTTTCAGGCTTTTTCGCAACTGCAGAAGTTGCATCTTTAACTGTAGCGATCTTCTTTGCATTTATTTCTTCACTCCCGCAGTTCCAATATATGAAATTCCGATGTATGTTAAAAACAACTTTCACCAACCGATCGCTGCAACAGACTACAGCAGGAGCCCGTCTTGATGGGCTCCTGACTACAGTTGATCAGATAGCCTCGCACGCAGGCGTTTTTAGGGGAGCTTGTATTATGGGGAAGGACGAATTCGACATACGAGCTCCTCTAAAAATGCTTGTGTGTGAGGCTAAAGATCAGATCCGCCAGACCTTTTTCCAAATCGCACTTCACCGCGAAATTGTATGTTCGGCTTATGCCCGATGATGTTAATTACCTTTTATGGCATTGATATTGCGTCCGAATGTAGAACTAAATTATTACAACACAATACAAGGAACTAAAAATAACCAAGAGAACAGAGAGCTGATTTACAAATGGGTCTCGGTAGCTATAGGTACTATCATTGACGGTTAATATCACTGGCTAAAGATACAAATATTGCGGGCGCATGGAAACCAAAGACACTCATAGAATACTCGGTTATGAATTCTCTCCTCCTTTTCCGACCTTTCTGTGCTATTTTGTTTTGTTGTGTTTGTCCGTTCCCTGTTTTATTCGTTATATTTTTTTGCCAAATAACCCGGTATCTGCATGAACTCGGAGTTCTTTATTTTGTATAAAAGCCGAATTGAACTGATCATGATCTTTCTCTAATGTGTAAGACTTTGGAATCCGCTTTCCAAAGTAAATGCAAGACCTCTCGTCACTCTCTTCACTGTGTGGCAATCGGAGGATACAGGTCAGCGTAATAAATACAAAAATGGATACCGCTGGAATATATTTTGTAAAAAAGGAAAAATACGCCTAACTATATTATACAGCAAGCCACAAACAACAAAAAAAGAAAAAAAGAAAAAGTTATCGTTTGTTGTAAGTGGCTCGCCACAACAACAGTAATTCCTCACTATTGTTCTTGCAAGCCACTAACGACACAAACGACGATTACGGCATTTATAAGAATTTGTAAATAATTTAAAAGAAAAAAAATGTGACATGTGACAAATTTAACATTTTAGGTACAACGTTAATGTGCACGGCCAGTGAAACTCTTAGATATTATGCAGCCAGAAATAGTTTCATTTTCGGCCGGCTGTATTTGTGTCGAGACGGTTGTTAGCCCGCACCAGTCAGAAAAGTAATACCATAATCTGTTTTTCTCCACGTCCCAATAGTTGGCCTAGTGGAATTTAAGAAGGGTGAGATAGCCCTTTCCTTTTCACGGTTCAGCAAGCTCTGCAGTGCCGTACACGGAATGTTTAACCCTTGCACACAGTTTTTTTTTGCGCCAGCTCTCTTTGGTGAGCAAGCAATACTCACCAAACAAAAATTTGAATGCCTGATCTTTCAAAAACCCGAACGCTGAAATGTTAATCGTCCTCAAATTTTTACCCGGAACTGTAAAAAAGTAACCAACGCAATGTGAACATCATATGGACCGCTATAGAGATCACAGGTTTACTTAAGGGGGCATTCTGGTTGTTTTTTGGGGGAAATGATGCTGATTTGGAAGGAAATAAATTAGGGTAGAAAAGGTACCTTATACACATAAGCCAGTTAGTCCGCTAATGGGATCAGAAGCACCTTGCATTGTTTTGCTGGTGGTACAATTCGCAAAAAACAGTAAATGTAACGCTACGTTCACTTGGGTGGATTGAGAATTCAAACCGGTAGCAAGATAAAGGTTTTATTGGTGACAATGTAAGAGAAACAAGACGTACTTGAAAGTCTTTCTGAAATGACTATGGTCACATCAGCATGTGAAGCTCGATAGCCGGCCAAATCCCCACCAACCGTTGAAGATGTCTTGAAACAGTTTCATGTCCAGTAGGGAGCTGACTGGCTATCTCATGATGATTATATATCACATGAAAACGCCTTCATCTGGAAGCATTTACCTTGTCAACAGAGGAAATTGGAATTTTGATTACGTTCCGTCTTTTGACTAGGTTAATGTTCCCAGTTTCCAGAACAATCTTTTCAAGTGTAAATACTGAAGCCCCACTCCAGTCAAGAAACGGTGGCCGGGAATGGTTTGGTTTCGTGGAGAAGGAGGCACGTTTGACAGATGAAAACCAAATGGCGCGGGCGACTAATAATACAGAGCCCGCAAATTTTTGAGAGAAGAAAATCCGGGCTCCGTAGACACGTCACTTGGTTGTCATCAGTCAGAACTGGGTTCCTCCTTCGCTGTTGCAGTGGTTACCACACGGTACCCGACGCATATTACTAAACTTGTGATTTAGAATGAAAACTTGAAATAAAATGGTACATAGTAAGAGCAGCGTAGAAACTTAGTCTCTCCTTTGCTTTGCGTTGTTACCTTCCTTAATTTAGTGCTTGTACTTTCTTCAGCCGAAGCCGAGATGAGTTTGAACATGTCTTTCTAAAAATCACGTTGACCGCACTAACTCATCTATCAATATATGGCCGGTCGGGGTAAGCAGGGAGCGAGCATAGGTTGGGGGGTTGAGGATCTGACATTTTTCGAAAGTTTGATGTCAAGTTCCCTACCCACAGGCAAATCATTCCGCTCAAAGGAAAAAAATTTCCCCATCCCCGGCAGCATATTGCAATCAAATATCCCAAGGCTGGACCAAAGGAAGTTAAATGACGCAACAATACTGGGCATAAAACTCTTTAATCTTATCTCTTAACGTTGCTTAATAATCAGAGGTACCTATTTCCCGGGTTTACTCTCTATAATGGTCTACACCAAGAGGCCATGCCCGAAAGGGGTACCTTTTTTATGCTTCAGGTATATGAATTTTGCTAGTTGAAGTCCATGAAAGTCATGAAACGGTAAGAAAATCTGTCATTTCGGTCTTTATAAAGGCCCAAAAGGGTTAACAGAGGCATTTTATGGCTGTGAAAATAGTCGCAAAAACGTTTTTTTTTTAAAAAAAAAACACAAGGAATTTACGGAAGTTTAGTAAAGAGCCGGTGCAAATTTCTAAACCAAGGTATGTGAAAAGCATATCACTTGTAAATAAAAGGTATAGGAAAGGGGTACCTTTTCTTTGGTGGTATAAAAAAGGGTAAGGGAAAGTTCATTTAATATGACAAGGGGGGGGATGAAGATATTGAAACTCGAAGCTTGAAATTTTAGCGGCCCCCCTCGCTAGCCCCCCCTCCTCCTTCAATTCCTTTGCTCCCCTGAAAAAAGATCGCTAGACTGTATTAAATATATTTACCGTTATTGTCTTCAAGGGTTTATACTATGACAAACTTGAGATACAGTTGTGATACAATTTTCTAAAGTATTTTTGGGATGAACAAGAGTGTAATAATTACTGAGACTACATTTGTTATATCTGTAAACCATGTGATATAGCTGAGTTGCACAGGTCATTAAATTGTTGAGTTGAAACCCATCCGATCTGTATGATGATGTCATGTGTTGGTTTTGAAGTATACAAATTTTCGGAGCCCCCGCTCCTAGCGCAACAATTTTTTCAGAGCCCCCCCTTCGGGTGTCTAAAAATTTTCGGAGCCCCCCCTCAATATCTTCATCCCCCCCCCTTGTCATATTAAATGAACTTTCCCTAAGGGGCTGGACCTGGGGGCGGAGCCTCTGCATAAAGACTTTGTTGAGAACCCCTTTCCCCCCAATGGCCTTTCCCTTGCCTTACAAAATCTCCTACGTAGCGTAGAATTACACTGAACAGTAAACTAAATAGAAACTTCAGGAGATCTCATGAGAGTTTGTGTTTTGTTTGTTTGAGTTTGAGTTTTAAGTATATATATATTTTCTCGATAGTGACAATAGCTAAATAGAAACTATTTATCCCTTTTAAAGGCTGGAGTAAGCTTCAGTTTGAAACAAAACCTAATCTATCGCTTCTTCAGTTACATGGAGACTCAGTTTCTTGAGCTCGTTTCGGAGGTGCCACAGACTAAATCTTGCACCGTTTACTTTCACAAAGCCTGAAACCATCTCAAGTTCGTCACAAGTTGCATTTCGACGACTCGCCACCTTCGGATTCTGTAGAAAGATCTTGAACATCTTACAAGGAAGAGGGTTCATTTCTGCTGTATTCTCTTCTGCTAGATCATGAACAGTGATCAATCCGCAGCTAGTGGGTGCAGAAGTTACCTCCGGCCCAAAAGGTCCCTCCAGGGACAAAGCTTGGTTGCATAAATCTTGAATCCAGGAGTCACTGAGGTCTTCATGCTCTAGCTCAGCTGCAGCAATCACTTCTACGACTGGTTGCGGTTCCAGCATTCTGTTGATGTGAACAATCGCGTTAGAGGGAACGCATCCGGGTGGAAAGCTTACCTCTACTATAGATTGAGTAGCGTTATTTGAGGCAGCCGGTGGCTGTGGTAGACAAAAGTCGCTTTCATCATCCATCAGAGAGGATGCAGCGGTAGTTAAAACCTTCTGGCGTAATTTCGCTGCTTGGAAGAGTTTTTTTGGGGAAATTCTTGATCGGTTGCACGGGTGTGAAGAGGTATATGTAGATGTATCAGCATTTTGAGGCTCTTCAATCTCGTCAAACCATCGACATCTTTTGTGCAGCGTTTCGAGCAACTCTGGTTGCTGGTGGAGGCCAGGTTCACTGGATGAAGAAACAGCTATATGACACTCTAGATCTGCAGGCTCTTCGCTTTCATCTACGCAATACCAAACAGAGTCAGCTTTGTTCCAAATTTGTTGAACTTCACGAATTGTTGTCTGAGTGTTCTTTTTGTCATCTTCTTCTTCAAGAGGTTTGAATAAACCGTTATTAATGCCTGCCATGTAGGGTGGAGCAATTCCAACTTTACTGAGTGACGAGCGAGGCAAAATGAAAACTAAGTTTGTTAGGAACCTGATCGAAATGATACAAAACATCCAAAGTGTGGAGAAAAAAACAAAAACATCTTTGCTTGATCGCGAAAACAAATATTGACAATTCTTCGGGGAGGGGGTGGTTTGTTACCACTCTTAATTTACAGCCTGTGTTTCTTTGTGTTGATCAATTGATCAATCAATTTTCAACTCAGACCTAACTTAGGCTTAAGTAGATATCTAGGTAAAGTGTCTCGTATATGAAATCCATTTAGCGTTGAAATGGACAAGGTAACTACACCTCCTTTCGAGGGTAGCAACAGTGCATTTAAGCTTTTCAAAGATCGCCGGCCTTAACAACTCTTAATTAGTTAATTAGTGATTATGATGCATGTGAAAATAGTAGTATTGTGTTTATCCCACACTGGAAGATTGTTTTTTATGCCATGGTCGTTTAGCTCAGGGATGAATCATATCACGAATCATTTTCGCTTTGATGATACAAATCGATCGCTTTAGTCGATATGTCAAGCAATTAAACACTCAGCTGATCATGATGTTGTTTGAAATTGATAATTATTTCTGCTAATTAACCCAGGAAAACTCCAATTCAAATGTAATTAGAAAGCTAGATTGTTCGTAAACCCATGGAAGTCCTCAAAACACGTGGTATTTGGGATATTCTCCTCCTTGAGGAGATTAATGACAATGTTTTTATAGGCCAAGCCTAATAGGTCTTAAAACGGCAACGATTGATCGAAAATGCCGACGAGACACGTCAAAGAGAATGAATTGATTTTCACTTTAATTGAACAGGTCGACCTACAAACTACTTCACAAATTGGAAATTTACACGATTAAGGTATTTGACTACAAAGAAGATTCCTTTAATTTGTTGTTTTCAGGTGCAAATCAGTGTTGCTCTTGTATAAAGTGAAACTGGTAAATTTACATGAGAAAGCAAAAAACGTAGTCAATTCTGGTGTTTGTAGCATACTGACTTCGTCGTGAAAATTACCTACTTATCAATGAATTTGTAAATGTCATTATTCCTTCCAGTAGCAATATTTTTGAGAAATTTATCCCAGGAGGTGACGACTTTGAAACCCTATGATAATCACGCAGTTATTAAGAAAATAAATTAGGTACCCAATTAAACATTTCGCAATAACCTTTGGGATAACTGTATAAATATTTCTAGTAGCTCTGCGTAGCACTATATTCAGCAATTGCAAGATGAAAAGGAGAAGTTCAAATAGCTGTGTTTCCACTCAGCTTAATGATTGTTTTGAATTGGCTGAGAGCTCTCTGGGCAGCAGTAACCATGGGTCAAATTCGGAAGATTCTCCATCATTAGCTGGAAGCAGTGTAGAGAGTAGGCAATCACGAGGTCAAGATGGAGTATTCAAAAGCCTGCGCAGGAGGCTCACTACGATTTCGCGACAGTCATCGAAATCTGTATCGGCTGTCGTTCCTTTCAACAGTGGATCCGAAGATGAAAAAGAAAAGAATCACATCTCAGTAGTACAAAAGGCACGAGCGCCACATTATCGATGTGTTCCACTCCCTCCTGGCTTCATTCCATCAGAGGTGCTGATGATACTAGACCATCAAGATCAGTCCGTTTACTCCACCGAAGCTGGAGATGCAGCAGCTGCAATCAGATCTGAGAAAGTAGGCAATCAAAGTCCAGCAGAGACAACTGAAGACGATGTGAATGGTAACACTAGCATTTCAAGTGGGTTGCACAAAGTGAAGAAGGGTGTTTTGTATAATAACTGGGTCGATCCAAAATTTTAACATTTCTTCCGAGAGCGGTTGCTGAAAGAATTTTATGTATTAATTTATTTAACAAAGGAAAATCATTAATTCAATTTATAAGTTAACTTTAATATAAAAAATTTTTATATATAAGCGGGCCTAGGATAAGCACTGACCGATTTCCTAAACAAGCGCCAAAGGCGCAAGCTTATAGTGGGGTCCGGGAGCATGTTGCCACGGGAAAATTTTTATTTTTTACTCCCTAAAGTCCCCTTTCCTGGGCTTCTGAGTCATTCAGACAGGATAAAGACCCTAACTTTTGGGCAGGGGTTTAAACCCGTAACCTCCCGCTCAGCAGACCGCCGCTCTCCCATCTGAGCTAACTTGGTGGCAGTGTGAAGAGAAACCCCTGGAGAGAAATCGTGAAAAAACCAAATCTATTGTGCTACACAGAACAATCAACGAGATTGTATCTATATAGCTAACAAATGTTCCGGTCCTCCATTTCTAATTTTTTTGGATCCGCCCCTGTAGACGATCTTTAGACCCAATTTGTTTGGCGAGTGTTTCGACGGATTAAAAAAATACCCTGGAACAGGTAAGTTTTAATGAATTCAATTAATTGCAGTAATTGCAATTGAACAGTTGCTTGAGGTAGGTGTTTCAGGTGTTGAAATCCACCCATACCTTACTCCATATCGTTACTGGCTTTATAAATTGGCCAAGATCTCTTACCCTAATCAGATAGTCACTTGATTAAAGAGCACCATAATTTGATTACGCGATTCAAGATAAATATTTCGAGTCTAGGGGCAAAATGAAACATGCCAATCACCAGAATGCGTAAACAGGCTTCTATTCTTGAATAAACTTTCACTGATCGAACTGACTCTCTTTAGCTAAGCTGCCACACCAACGTTACGCTTACGATATCACGAAAATACAAAAATTCGTAATACTCAGTGCAAAAAAGTAGTTATTCCAAAAAATAAACGAGAAAGGATTCCGCAATCTAAATTACGAGTTCGCAGGCTCATAACTGTAACAACTGTGAATATAGTCACGGGCGAATTGAAATCATAAAAAAGATAAAAGCAATAACCTTACATTTATTTGTAAAATTATTTTTACAGCTTTGCACTTTGTTAAGAGAATTCTACAGTTGCAGCTAACTTGAAGATAACACAAACCACAAATTAAATCATACTAATGAATAATTTACTTGAATAAAGACGTCAAGATAATTGACCAAGAAAGGATAAAGGGGACAGAGAAGGCATCCCCCATACACACCCTATTCCATAGAACAGGAGGGCATTTTGCATGCGCATTCGTCAATATGGGCTGTTGAAGTTCCACAGAGGCATTTTCTGTGAATTGTTTACGTTCAGTACCAGCATTTTCAGGCTGTTTTCTGGAGCTGAATGACGTGTATTGGATGCTACGTTCTTCAAACATGTTATTTAAGGTATCGAGGTATTTCTACGATGAAAGTGAGTTTATTGTAGCCTTGCTCTAGCCCTTGAGAGGACAGTCTTTCCTTTCGTAAAACAGTGCATCGAAGACAAGATGGCGGCTGAATGTTCTTACCACCTAACATTTCGCGCACATTTTTTGAGCAGGAGGAAAAGGTCAGTATGATAGTTTTTCGTTAAACAATTATCCTATAGATACTTAATTCTTCTCATTAGTATAACTCTAAAATCGAACTTAATCATTTCAGGAATACAGCTGTTAATTAAGTGTCCATTCTGCCGTGAAACTGTTTTTCACCCTTTCTCTGGCTTGTTTATCTCGAAATCTTGCCTTTCTCCCCAAATTAAGTTAATGATTAATGAAACTAAGAATACTTCCGCAAATGAATGGCGCTTTGATGAAGGCTGTGAAAAATCGCCTTCTGCAGTAATTTTAGCTTTCTTCTCCGGTACGTCTTCGTTAAGAAATAAAATACACGCACTTCAACTATAAATTTAAATCAATATAATGATGCCAGTAAGATTGTGGTTTGAAAATAAGAATATTCTATCATTTAGTTATACAAAGGAAAAAAAATTACACCAATCGGTTTGAATTCTGATTTTTTCCACCTTATTTTGATGGTACACTGTTTGTTTACATTTATTATGCAAATAAATATAACATTTTGGCGTTTTAAAGAAAATCTAGCCTAACTCCCCAACCCCAAAATAGCACGAAATGAAACGTTATCAATACACCTTTTGAATAAATCCTGGCTTCTGTTGCAAAAAAATCGCATTTATTTCTAAATGATACCATTTTGTGGATACTACATTTGTTGATATGCTAATTTGTGAGACATTTCATTCACGAAGGATGTTGACTGAGACCAGCTTCTCCTCTGTAATGAACCACATTCTTGTTTAATGCATCAGTTTCTGTTTGATAATTCTTCCATGATGTACAACTGACATAAGGGGTTCATCTGGATACAGTAAAAAGCTCTCAACAGAAACATTAATAATAGACAAATTCATCCATCCATTTGTGTCATGTTTGTTGTCGCATCCCAGCTCATTTGGGTCCTTTAGCAGAAGTATTTATTTTTTGAGGAAACAGCTTTATATGCACCCTTTAACAAACTTCCTTTCTTACCTTTAAACAGGTTTTGAAGGTGAACAACATCGTCAGTTAGATTTAGGAGTGATGGCCATTCTCTGTTTTGAATGGATCACTACTGTCATCAAATGTAAATTAATAACAAGAAATTGATTGTGGAACACAGGAGCTGTTACTCAAGAGTCGCTTCAAAATAGAAGCTTGGGAAAATCTCTGGATCTTTTAGAGTTAAAGAAAAATAAAAGTAGTGTTCGTTTTTTTGAAGTATGTGCATTCGTTTTGTCTGCAACTGAGCTTATGAAATGCTAAAGTGATTATGTACTACATAATCACTTGCAATTGTTGCTGTCTCAAACTCAATCCATTCTTCATTTCCTATAGAATATTTTTTATAAATTTTTCCGCGAAAACTTTCGAAAAAGTGTAAAAACCCCATAGATTTCATGTTTTGTGGCATATATAAGCGCGTGTCTCTGCGATCAGTTTAACATGAGACATCGCGGTAATAAATAAACCTCGCGTTGTTATATTTTTTTGCTTTTTGTCTTAAGGCAGCTGAACATTGCTACGATGCATTTCCTCCCTGATAAGTAAAACCGCGAGTTCGGAAATCGAACCATAGAAATGCATTGCTTTGCAGTGAAAATCAGACTTATACAGGAAGATGACTTTTTGGCGTTGAGTCTTGAAAGTCTTTAAAAGGCCAAGAAAACCTACTGCTGAAAAATCTAAAAGTGAAAACCCGTGTAGAAAACGTCCGATTGTAGGAAAGTACGGTATTCAAACCAACGAAATGGCTTTTAAAAGGACTGTAACTTTACGCGCGAGTTTTCGATTTCCCGCCATTAGATTTGATGCGTCTACGCTATTATCGTTCAGCGGATTCACGCATGCGCATGCAAAATGCCCTCCTGTTTTCCATAGGTAATTCGTCTCGAGTTATTTCTCATCCTCGGAGACCTAGGGGCAGTCAGTCGGGTCGGGAGAAAAGGCGGGACGAAAGTTTTCATTACGGACGAAAGAGCCCCTGGGTACCGACTCTCACCGGACCATTTCCAAAAATTCAAGCGGATGCCGACTCCTGATTGGGCACCAAAAATGCTTTGTATTATTGTGCCCAATCGTCGAACACATCTAAATGAGTTCTTTTTGTGTGTTCGTACATGAAGGCTATTGTCTCGATCACGGCTTGTCTAGCTCATGCACCAAAGAAATGCTCGCAGTCAGGAAACTTTCAGTTTTGATATAAAATCCCCATTTGATCCAACTCGCTTACTTTGTCAATGCAAGCGAACTCTTCTGGAGCTGAATTTCTATCAACCATATCCAAGTTCATGAAGAGAATGAATTTTGTTATTGTTTGTTTACGCCCTTCACAAAACGTGAAATTAGGCATTTTCACGGGTAGTCGTGCAGTTGACGGTAAAGAAATGTACAAAAAAGCGTGATACACGTGCAAAGTTGTTGTTTTGCCTTGTCAAGCTATTACTTATTTGAATTTTTCATCGCCGCCGAATCTTAATTGTGATCCGTCAAAAACAGAATATTCTCGGGGCAAATTCAATTGCTCTTGCTGATAGTAACCCAAACGCTTTTTCAACTCATCGGTAGTTCCTTTGTTTCTGGCTAGGAAAGTAGAAAATAAAAGTTTCCTTTGTACGCGCAAGCTTGGTGAATGAACCTGGCAAGTGTGACGAGACAATAGTCGTCGTGTACGAACTCACGAAAAGAACTCAAGAGAAACTGTTCGCCGATTGGGCACAATAATGCAAAGCATTTTTTGTGCCCAATCAGGAGCCGGTATCCGCTTGAATTTTTGGAAATAGTTCGGTGAGAGTCGGTACCCAGGGGCTCTTCCGCCCTTACTTGAAAGCTTTTATCTCGCCTTTTTTCCCGACCCGACTGACTGCCCCTGGGTCTCCGAGGNTTGCCTTGTCAAGCTATTACTTATTTGAATTTTTCATCGCCGCCGAATCTTAATTGTGATCCGTCAAAAACAGAATATTCTCGGGGCAAATTCAATTGCTCTTGCTGATAGTAACCCAAACGCTTTTTCAACTCATCGGTAGTTCCTTTGTTTCTGGCTAGGAAAGTAGAAAATAAAAGTTTCCTTTGTACGCGCAAGCTTGGTGAATGAACCTGGCAAGTGTGACGAGACAATAGTCGTCGTGTACGAACTCACGAAAAGAACTCAAGAGAAACTGTTCGCCGATTGGGCACAATAATGCAAAGCATTTTTTGTGCCCAATCAGGAGCCGGTATCCGCTTGAATTTTTGGAAATAGTTCGGTGAGAGTCGGTACCCAGGGGCTCTTCCGCCCTTACTTGAAAGCTTTTATCTCGCCTTTTTTCCCGACCCGACTGACTGCCCCTGGGTCTCCGAGGATGGTTATTTCTAGAATCGGGATAAAGATACCTCGCGCGCTGCGTGGATGTTTCGTGGAGGTTTCGCATGACTAAACGCCGTGCAAAACATGTCGGGTGAAAGGCAATGAAAGCGTAAAGAGATCGAGAGCTTTTCTGAATATTGAAGCGAAATGAGTCGGCGCTCACCTGGGAAAAGGGAATCGCTGGACTCTTTGACAACCCGTGAAATAAGTTTAACTCGAAGTTGTCGCAACTTCAGTGCTTTAATATAATGAGAAATTTCGCCGGTCTATTGAAACCGGTCGTTTGTACAATATAGCAAGTAGGACGCCAAGTGTTATTTTTGTTGAATAATAAACGACTAATAAAAGAATAAATATCAAACCAGAAATTGCTCTCTTCAAACTGTGAATAATAAATGATTCTGAGAGAATATTCAGTGTGTTAAGGATCTCCCTGATGCACTGTTAGCTCTATACAAGAGAGGAAGGGCGATTCTTTTTTAATTTCCATTTCGCTGACACCGCTTTAGTAGAAATCTCTCTTTAGTCGTTTTCGTCGACAAAACGAATAGCACTATCGCTCTCCGCGTCTTCCGCCATTTTTTTCAGCGTCAATTCGTGAACGACGCGCGGCTCTGAACGTGGGTCATCCACGCGGAACACATTCGCGCTATGTGATTGGTTGTTGTCTAATCCCCCTTGGGATCTGTGGTCTTAAAAATAACTCGAGACGAATTACCTGTGGAATAGGGTGTGTATGGGGGATGCCTTCTCTGTCCCCTTTATCCTCTCTTGAATTGAATTATGACTAGCCCAGGGACATTTTTTGCTTTTAGGTGGCCGCGGCCACCCTGTAGCAGTCCTATGTTTGTTTTTTTTCTGTTATTTTTACCTGTATCAAACGGCCACCCTGGGTCGAACTTGAAACATTTTTGGGAGAACTTGTTTACCTTGCGGTAGAAATCTGTCATCGGTCGACATTGCTAAGTGCGATGCACAGGTCACAGGTTGGCCGAAAATCGGCAAAAATATCAAAGATGCCGTAGTGCTTGGGCTGGGCAGGCAGATTTTGGAAAACTCGATCTAAACAAAAGGAGGATAAATCACATATCCTTCAACTATATTATCGCATCAAAAATGCGGACACCACATGATCAGTAGCCTGAGAAAACAGCCGACTTTGGCGACGTTAGGCTAACTGGTTTCCACGCCAAATGACGTCTGAGAAACGAGTGCAGAAATTCCACACTGATGACGCGTCACTACCCAGATCTGGGTAGTAACGCGTCATCAGTATGGAATTTCTGCGCTCGTTTCTCAGACGTCATTTGGCAGGGAAACCAGTGGTAGCGTCGCCAAATGCCGGCTGTTTTCTCAGGCTACATGATCAGTTCATTTCAAAATGGATGCGGTAGTGGAGGAAGCGTGGCAAGCACCAATGTTTCGAAAATCAAACTTGTTATATTTTTACTGCCTAGATGTTTTGACCTGACTGGGACCAGATTACCTTTCTTGAAGCTGAAATGTTGTTTTGAGCATGTGAGTTTTCCTCAATCTCTTTCGGAAAGGCGAATAGTTGTTTTCCCTAAGAGCGAGCTTCTGCTCGACAAAGTGAAAGATCTGATCGCGCCCTGTGTTATCAGGATTAAATCCAGTGTAGTATTTAGGTAAGAAAAGTAAATCTACTGTTTGTCTTTGTTAAGAGTGATTTGTTATGCGCATTTTTAATGATAACGATTTGCAGTTTCACCCAGATGAGGTGGAAGACGATGAGGAAGTTTTGCTGATATGGGATTTCGATGTGGACAATGTGCTTCTTTCTTTGACTGCCTCTCAGAGTGCAATTAAAGCCAAATTTCTTCTTCAATGACTTCTATCCTTTCTATGGCTTATTTAGATCTACAAAGAGTGAAATGCGACTGCAGCATGTCGTCGCATCAAGGGAAGGTCTTGCTTGCATTTCCCACTTCTAAGAAAACACAAACAGCCATCTCATCATTGCAAAAGCTGTTGTTGACGGACAAGAGCGAAGAGGAAGACGACACGGAGGAAGAAATGGAACAAGAGCAAAAGATGGAACAAGAGGAGGAGGAGCAGATTTTATAGCCATTCGATTGACAGTCGTAAGCAAAAGAGCTCTCGAATTGATCGCACCCGAGAAGACATCTCGTGATGTCTCTGAAACTTTTACGTTAAAAGGTACGTAGCTCCTATCACGAGCATTTTCAAAATACTGTTAGAAGCTGCCAGGAAAAAAAGGACTAGGAAAGAAACAGTAGTGCCCGTGAAGTTAAGTTTTGAACCAGTGAACATTCAGGAGGCAAATCCCATACTTGTGCATGCCTGCCATGGAAATTTGTGGTAACCAATAGCCCATTTTCACGATGACAACATTTAACTACAACTCACAGAATTCATTCTCACAAAAGAGTTCCTTAGGCCGGTGGCGGTGTGATCATTTAATATTTAATTATGCATTAAAATAGACTTTGCACAAGCCCGTCGATCATCAAGTGTTTGCCAAGAAACGGAGTCAATTAAGTCTGCAGAGCGAGTATCATGACTGGCACCTTTTAGAACTCTAGCAGCACGTGACTAAACTTGTTGCAGTTTATCTTTCAATAACTTGCCGCAGGTGTCCCACAAAGGGGAACAGTACTCAAAATATGGCTGAACTAAGCCCTTATAAACTGTTTCCAGAGTAGCTACGGGAACAAAATTTTTGATGCACCGCATGGCTCCTATACCCGCGCTAACCTTTTTACGGATCGTATCGACAGGACAGTCCCAGCTAAGCTTTTCATCTATGTGAACGCCAAGGCACTTATGTGCACTAGTTCTCGATATAGGTTGATCATTTACCACAACAGGTTGCTAACTTATCTCATTGTTCAGACTGTAGGAGGACCCAATATACAAGAGTTTTGATTTAGAAGTTTATTCTTGATGAGCCACTTTCGGACTTGAGAGAGATCAGAATTAAGCTTCACGATAAGTTTGTTTGCATCGTGAGAGGAAGCAAAAGATTTGTGTATCATCCGCATAAATACTAGCCTCCCCGCAGACGTCCTTTGGGGTTCGTTTGTCACGCATTCATTTCTCCCCCACGTCTCCGTGGGGGAGAAATGAATGCGTGACAAACGAACCCCAAAGGACGTCTGCGGGGAGGCTGCATAAATACAGAGAGTTGTTAATTTTAGACTCTCAGCAGTCTCAGGCAAGTCCTTGATGTATGATAGAAACAAAAGTCGCCCTAGGATTGATCCCTGAGGGACTCCGCAAGTGATAATTTTCTTAGATGACAGCTGATCGTTGATAATGCATTGCTCTTCCCTGTTTGTTAGGTATGGTTTAAACCAGTTCAACTCCATACCAATGATACCAAAAAGTTCGTTCATCTTAAGTTGGTTATCGGGATGTCATGATTAATGGAATCAAAAGCTTTCTTGATGTCCAGAAATACAACACCATTCAGCAACAAACTGAAGCATTCTAGTAGTTGTAGTTAAATTGTCGTCATAGTGCAATTGTACTATTGGCTACATCCCTGGGGTGAAAGTTTTCAAAGTTACACAACACATGCTATTAACAATAAGGAGATTACGAGCATGGAAATCACTTCTATCAGGTACAAGTGCACGAGAAAGATGCGATAGAATCGTGGCAATTTTAGCGCGAAGCATCATGGGATACTTAATTTATCCTCCTTTAGCTAAACAATAGAAATCACAGCGGTAACTGTCAGCGCTTGTCAGTGAGAACGTGATGAATTTGAAACACGATCAATTTGAAAAAAGAATTCAAAAAAATGCATTCTTTGCAGCCAAGCACTTTGTCTTCTTTGTCTGTCCCATCCTTCTGAAACTGGGAATGGAAAAAAACGATCCTTCGACAAATGGTCGGACGAGAAGAGAAAATGTTTTCTGGTATCTGGCCTTCTTTAGTTCTCAATGTGTCAAAGCAAAAACAATTAACTCTCACCTAATGCGGCCCTCTTCGGTTGGACAAAGAGTTTTCTTTTCCGTTTGCGGTTTCGAATTTTTGTGGTGTTTTAGCCGTATATTTTACCGTCGCTCTCCATTGTCAGCTTTTGTTTAATTGTGCGTACGGTGTACTTGAATACGCAAAAATACGGACTGCATGTTTTGTGGTCTAAGTTGCTAGTTGGCACTGAACTTTGTTTACATTATTAATCGCTTGAAAGAGTGTTGATTGTTCTATTGTTTCCTTACATAAAGTGTTTTTGTATGATACAACATTAAAAAAGACTTATTAGACCACGCCCAGAAAAGTCTGGTTTTCACTAGCGACGGAGTCGGAGTCGGAGTCGTAAGAGTGCTTATGACCTAGTGAAAATCAAAAATCGGAGTCGTACGCGAAATCATAAGCGCGACGCAATCGGAGTCAGAAGAATCAGAACGTTTCCATTTCTTCCGACTCCGCTTACGACTCCGTCGGTTACGTTCCGCTTATGATCTAGTGAAAACCAGATTGTCGGAGTCGGAAGCAGAAGCGAAAGGATAAACCAATCACAATGCACGTTCTCACGCTTTGTGATTGGTTTAGTTCTTCCGCTTCTGCTTCCGACTCCGACAATCTGGTTTTCACTAGATCATAAACGTAAGCGACGGAGTCGTAAACGGAATCGGAACGCTATTTTCACTAGATCATAAGCTCTACGCTTCTGATTACGACTCCGACTTCGACTCCGACTCCGTCGCTAGTGAAAACCAACCTTAAGTATTTTAGTGATCCTGTATTAAGAGGCCAGTTCCTCAAGTCCCGAGGCTGGCCGTTATGTACAGGATCGAATGTATTTCCCATCCAAAGGCTGTTGCTAAAGCAATCAATATTTCATCCGTGATGGCTGTTTGTTCTATAGTTTGCAACCTTTACACGTAAAGCTTCACTGAGAAATTCCGCAGGACATTTTTGGTTGTGTTCAAATGCCAATGTCAGAGGAGAATGACAGCCAGCTAGGAAACACTCAGTCATCTACAGGTTGTGTGGAATTGGTTGTATGAAGTCACATCACATGGATTAGGCTATAGCACCAGCCGCTTGGGGTTCATGAACGTAAACTCCACAAGTATTTGTATTTCCCCCCTAAAAAATTCAGGAATATAAGTGTGTGAATCTTGATTATTTGTTTTTCTTATAGCAAGGTTTGGAGAAGAGGTTATGATTTGGGTTAGTACACGTAGAATATTAGGAAAACAAGAAACAATACCACACAATCGAGATAAACTTTGTTTATTCTTTCTCGAATGAAACAAAGAAAACCATTTTGTTCTTACACATTGTTACACTTATTTTTCTAATCGGCGTCAACAAGAAAATAATCGAGTACAATTTTGGTTGTTCTTTTTGGAATGAAACAAACTAAGAAATCTTCAACTTTGTTTATTCTTCTCGAATGAATCAAAGGAAACTTCCTTCTATACTCGTTTGCGCTAACAACAGACTGAGTCAAGTACAACTTTGTTTATTCTTTGTCGAATGAAACAAAGAAACTTTTCTCTAATAATCTACCTAATCTGCGTTAACAAGAGAGAAATCGAATATAACTTGGTTTATTCTTTTTAGAATGAAACAAAGAAACCTGTTCCTCTTTAAATTATCTATCTAATCTGCGTTAACAAAAGAATGATCGAGTTTAACTTTGTTTATTCTTTCTCGAATGAAACAAAGAAATTTGCTCTTAAAAGAAAAAAAAAAAAAGAAAACTCCACTACAACTTTGTTTATTCTTTCTTGAATGAAACAAAATTACTCTCCTAGTTTGCCAAACAATGACTTATCAAGCTCAACTTTGTCTATTCTATCTTGACTGGAACAACAAAACAGCAGGAAACCCGTTTGCAAAGTCACACTCTGCTTCAGTTCAATTCAGTAAATTTTGATTTAAAATTGACTTTGCTTATTCTTTCACTGAGAATCAACCAAAGTGCACTTAGCTACTTAGTTTGTAACCTGACAATGAGTTTGCGAAGTTCACTGACTTTCTCGATGCACCATTTATCTTTGAGAGGGGGCGGGGATGTGCCATTTTTTCGAGCACGAATGTTTTCAACGGCTAATTGTTCTGCATTGATTTTCTTGGCGGTTCCCCTTGCCGAGCTTTTTTTGTTTTGTTTTTTTTTTTTTGCGTTTTTTCACCATCAGCATAATCGCAAAGGAAAAAGCATTTTTTTTTCTTTTGACAAAGCCGTGCATTTAATTGCCCTCCCCCATCAAAATTTAAATGCTCCACCCCTTTGTGGAAAAAAAAAATTCATGACCTCTGTCTTTTCAAGTATGTTGATAAGGATTTGCTCTTATTACCTCAGTCAGCATTTTCTAGAAAAATACTGTGAAACCTCCTAAATGAGACCGCCCAAGATTCAAGAAAAGTTTCTTTGCAGCTGGTCAGCTACATGGTACAAAAACGCCGAGCTGGCACAAGACGAACAAAGAGCTCACATCAAGTTCATTTGTCTCCTCCCACAGCGTTTCTTTCGTCTCAGCCGCATGGCATTTTTGTACCAAGTGACTGACCAACTGCAAAAGACCAATATGGAAGTGACATTATTAACTTGGTTTTCACATAAGAAGTTGACTGAGTGACTTTGTGATAGGTCAAAAGAATTTAGTTATAGTAACGAGAAGGTCGTGTGAACCAGTTGATCTTAAAGCGGGTTTCCAATTAAATCTACTCAGAAGTAGGCACGAGTGCTGGCAAAAACTTACTTCTTTCCAAGGGAAAAGCCCTGGTGAAGAAGCTGCACTGCCAAGCAAATGAATGTTTAGCAGAAGCAGAAACAGAGGGCGCTGTTTTAGCCTCACTGCTTCATTGCTTTTATTCAAACAAAGTTCCTGTGTAACAAAGTGCCGCAATGAAGGCCGAGATCATGGCAACCAATGATTGTAGCTTGTTAATGTTGCCTCCTGCAGATGGACCGGTATGTGTCGTAGATGTCGTAGGGCAAGCATCTAAGGCCTCGAGGTCTTTCAGATACAGGTCACCAAGCCATTTCTGGTAGGTGTTTTTTTCTCCAACATCAACGAGCTTCTTTGTCGAATCTTTGAATAAGAGATCAGAGCCGTTCATGTACTTGAATGACTCAAATAACTGGAACATGTTGGAATTAGTTTGATTGATTCCGTAGGCGTTAGAAGCATCCAGCAATAGTCTTTTGTAGTTGGCATTGTTAGCGTTTCCTCTTTTCACCATCACGGCATGGGATGGAACTTGCGCGAGGTAACAGTTATCGTTCCAGTTGGCTGGAAAAGAATGTCACCACTTTTAATTTCAATATATTCCATCCATTTTGGGTTTCTAGCGAGGCATAGTTAGCGTTTTAACGGTTTCCGAATTATATCATCACGACATGGGACGAAACTTGAGCGAGACAACATTTCTTGTACGTATGTGAAAAACAAACGTTTTTTATATCTGTCTGAATTTATAAAAAGGTACCTAAAGAAATTTCAAGTGAGTTTTAACAATTTGACCCTTGAGGTGAATAAGAAACTGTTGAAATTTGCTAGTTAAGGCTTTAAAAGAACAAATTAATCGCTGGAGACACACGAAAAGTCGCTCTTGGCAAAAACGACAGATTTGTAACGAAATGAACAACATTTATTTCTAAGCACAGAAATTATGATCGTTCAGTCTCGCAAACTATGAGGCTTATGGCGAGACGCCCGACTAAAATAGACCTAAAATTAACCTTTCTTGAGCCCAGAATCGGTTGTCTAAGACAAAATCACTTCAACTATAAAACACTCACGAAGCGTTTTTATCCTTGTGCACAGTATTCTTATAATATGAGCACCACGACGTACCTTAATTCTGTCTGTCAACGACTTTAGGATTAACCACTTCATACAATTAACCACGTTCGCGGCACTGATAAAACTATCCACAACCAACTAGGCACAATGTTTTCACACTTAATACGGGCCGAATATCATCAAATTACTGTCGATCAATAACTCTCGCTTTCTCCACATAAATCATCGCATGTAAACTTTCCTCACTCAGTCGATTTATTCCTGATCCCGGATGTAGACGAGCCGTTTTGAAAGGGACACATGGACGCCGGCCTTCAAAACAATTTTTAACAAAGTCTCTGGCCTGGTCAGAAATCAGCTTCAATTTTGTTCTCGCCGAATAGATTTGAGTCCTAAAAACTACTTTCTGAGGCCAGAGACTCGTCACCGCCCGCATCAAAGCTCGTAATATGATCCCTTTCCGTCTCAAGCCCGTGAACAGTGTTTCACCCGTTAAGCCAAAATGAGACGAAATACGGCAACATATAGCCCACTTTGGAAAAGGGTGATAGCCTGGGACCTAGCCTAGGCGCGCACGCATCTATGGGATTCTTTGGGGGGACGCGAATGTAAACAAACATGGCGGAATACGAAGTGGAATGTTTCAGCGGGGTTAAAACAGCTCAAAATAGCAAAACGGAAGACGGAATTGAACATGATAATGTGAAGCTGAAGGAAGACTATGTGCCTGGAACGACTTTACCACGAGAATGCTCCGTGAAACAACTTCAGAGATGCTGGATAGGTCTTGCTCCTGACCATGGAGTTCCTGAAATAATTTGTGCACAAAGGCACATAACAACTTGCGTGTCTCGTAGTAATTCAACTTGTTCCCCCAAACAATCCCATAAATGCGTGCGCGCTTAGTTTGGGTCCCAGGCTATCACTCTTGACTTTGCCAATCGTGAGACTTGTTCCTTCATAAGGCTTAATGATGCCTTCCGGAAAATTTTGCTGCTGCAGGCGGCCAGAAAGAAATCTAGAAAATTAAACGACCACGGAAAACAACTTCTACAGCGTGCGCTGATTTCAAATGTCAATTTTTATGACACGGCGAAAATAATGAGAAATGATATGTCGGGGAGAGGGAGGAGAGCGGGTGGGAAAAGACAGACAGATATATATTCATATAATTGAGTGGTCTGTAAGGCCCAATAGTAAATAAAATCTTTAAAGGTCAAATGAACCAAAAAATTGACATATTTTCTTTTGTCGCTTTACCTTCACCAAACACTAAAAAGAACCATCCTAAGTGAGATTTGGGTAAAGATTTTTCTTCCCAAGCCTTTATAGAAAGATAAAAGATCAAAATCCGAGCATTTCCGAAAACTTCACGAAAACGTGTCTGAAATGGCCGCGTGATAGACTGGAGACTACGTGACGTCAATGTTGGTCTTTCAGGGCGGAAAAACGTTCTGCGCAAGCTTCTGCGCATCCCTCATCGCCTGCGTTTGTTTGTCTCGGAGTCTGACTGAGACTGAATGAAATATACGAATGAATATGAATACGAGGTGCGAACGTTTACTCCTTGTAAAGGCTTTTTTTTGTTTTTGTTGTTGTTGTTGTTGTTTTTTCGTCACTTGAAAATTACCTTGGATTCAGAACAACCAATGTTAGAGTAAAAAAGATCATCCGTCAGTCTGAAGAGGAATAAAACGTTTTGAACATTTCCAAAGAGGTTTGTATTTTTCTGATAATTGTGCATTCGATTTGTGAATTGATTTTGTGTCCAGTGCTTCGCCTTCTTTTGCCGGACTGAATTAAAAGCCGCTTGTATTCTAGTATTAGTAGCTACGGTTAGTTTTTTTAAATGCCCAGATTTATTTACCTTTGCAGAACCAGCTTTATCCTTGTCTTATGTCAAAGAACCGTAACACCGATTATGACTTTTTTATAAGTACATTAACGACTATTAAAGTTCACTTAACCCGTTGATTAAATAATAGCTTCAGGGGTAGGCTGTTGTCAAGGCATGATATATTAGTTATTTTCACATCCATAAACATCACGAGAAAATAATCATGCCTATATATAAAAGGTCTGCTCTAGGAAATGAGCCTAGCCAGCTCTGAGGTTTGTAAGAGTAGCCAAGTAAGAACGTAAGTTGCGATCAGGCTTTTTTTAAAAGCAATATGCGAGGATGGCATGATCACAAATTCAATCCAGACGTTGTTAATCGATGAAAATCGTTATCGGAAATCAATCGATATTAATCGATTTAATCTGCCGATTAATATCTATTGATATCGGAAATCGGTAGAAGTAGAAGTCACAGAAAAAATAATTTATCGACCATTATCGATTAACGAAATCGATAACAATCGATAGGAATCGATATAAGGAATGCTCTTGAAGTGAATATTCTGAACATGACGATGCAACCTCGTTCCAAGGGTTTTCTCCTGATGGGATCCTGCCCCTACCCGTCCCTCCCTTCCCTACGGAGCGAGAGAGACGGGCGGGAGATAACCTGGGAACGAGGTTGCATGACGACGATGCTATTTGGCAAGCAACCCTCATGAGATCGCCCACATTTTATTCTTGATGACTTCAGCAACTACTCCAGGCGCAGTCTTCACCAGATTCCATTTTGTTGTTGTTGTTTCTTTCGTTTCCTGGTCTGTTTTAATAGATCTTTACATGTCCATTCAATCTAGACGTAGTTCGGTCATTGAAATCATAAGAACACTGATTTTGTTCTTTATTATGCTCCATATTTATGGAGTTGCTACAGCAACAGAGAGCTATTTTCTGCCACTTTTGTATTAGCCTTTTTATTATTATTATTATTATTATTATTATTATTATGATCTGCGCTTAAGCTAAAACAAAGAGCAATTTGTTCCTGTTAGTGTTTTGTTCTTTTAGTATTTTATCAATAGAGCGGAGAAGTCGAAATTGTTGGATAACAACAAACGGAAAAAGTTACTTAAAAGTCTATTCCGGCTATTTCAAACTTCACCTATTTTGTTCGATTTCATTTAATTTGGCAAATCTTGGCGAAATTTTCTTTGGGTCCCTATCTATCGTTATCTAAGTTTAGAAAAAAAAGCGACAATTTTTGTGTTGTGTTCACCTACTCCGTATAGCGGGCTCGTGAAATTAGGAAATCCCATGTCGTGGTGGTGCAACAACGGCAAAGAAATGAACAAAATAGAGTGATGCACGTGCAAAGTTGTTGTTTGTTATTATAAACATATTATTTTTTGCGGTTCTCATTGCCGTCGCCATCGTCCTTGGTTTTCTTGTCATCCAGAAATAGCGCTACCATATGTAAGGTGACGTCACACTTCTCTCTATTGAAACAACTGAATGACTAAATAATACCTTACAGACAACATCTGTTAATGTTGAACTTCTACCGAATAATGACTTATGTCTTTGCCGATAATAAGCGATAGTAATCGATAACAATCGATAAAAAATCATCATCGATTTCTTTCGGAAATCGATATTAATGGAAATCACAACTTTTTTCTTTATCGATTTCTATCGATTGATATCAGAAATCTATATTCACCGATGATCAATATCGATTACTATCGATTATTGTCGATTATCGGTTTATCGATTAACTACGTCTGGGTTCAATGAAAATGCCTAGAACGCATTTATGTTCACAGGAGTTTTGTTTTCATTATTGGGCGATATCGGCATGCTGAGTGGGATTGTAACTGCATTTTGTTTATTTTGAAAATGATTACTCACGGTGCCATGTCAAAAAGGTTAACATTATTAAGGTCATCACGTACAAAAATGTCCTCAATATGCCGTATCCTGAGTCGCTTTATCATCCAAGGCAGGTCACAAAAACTAAAGAAAAACTTTGAAAAACTGCTTAGCTTAAAAGTTTTCAAAAATACTTAAGGTGATTCCTTGGTTTTGCACTGCGCATCTCTTACTGCGCATAACAAGATGGCCGCCGTAAAAAAGAGCATGTGAAGTAACATTATTAAAATGAAGTTGACTGAAGAGAAACGCTATTGGAATTTTTGCTTGCGGTTGTTTCTTGCCGAGGTGAGACTCAATGTGTTGGAAATGTGCATAACGTAGGCAGTACGCGTGTTGCTGAGTTCGACTTCCTCACGGAAAACCTCGATAGTGGATGTTTAACTTGTGCTTACTCACTTTGATTTTTATTTAAACGCTTTCTTTATCACATTGTATCCTAAATGTGATATCTCGCACGGTGACGCCCACTTTTTATTACTTTTTTATCATCTTCTTGACTTGTTACATCAGTGTACCAAGTTTCATCTACAATCTATGTTAGGTTCTTTTACTAAGGAATCACCTTAATTACTATCCATTTTCTGTTTTGTCCTGACAGAACTTTGCGTGTCTTCCTTTTAACTTGATGCGTCAATTTTTTGACTGTTTTAGTAGGCGAGAGCGGATTACTCAGTTTGGTAGTCAGTTTAACGGATGGATGAATTTAGTAAAATAAAGCTCCTTTAAGTACTTTTATCAGCTTTTATTAGTGGAAAACTTTCACCAATACCTACCCTTAGTACTTCCATCCTTACACAGATATTTATATTCGCTAGCTTCAGCTGATGGCACTGTGGTGTGCTTTATAAACGCTACGTCTCCCATTCCGTCCTTCAAGCACTGGAAAGCACCAGAGTAACCAGAATAGTTGCCACTTTTTGTGCATTCGTCTGGGCACAAATCGCACAAGTTTGAAGGATTTTTGCCATCGCCATCGTAAGTCGAAGTTTTGACATCTGTAATTAAGATAAAATAAGTTAGAACGTTGCAGATTGCATAATATGTGGGTTAGGCTCTCAAAGAATCCTTCCTCAAGAATGGAAGAGCAGCCGGGTAATTACTCATAGCCAGATCCTTACAAAACATTTGAATTACTTAATTCTGATTGCCCAGAAAATATTACCTGGCCAATCGGAAGCAGAGAAATCAATTAATGCTTCTGGAACTAGTTTAGTAATAGCTAGGGCTTTCTACAAGTTGCTCGAGATTTTCCAAAAAGTTGCTTAAAAAACAATCAAAAGTTGCTTTTTGCATCGAAAGTTGCTCAAAAGTTGCTCGAATAAACAAAATCTGTTTTTGGTCTGATGTTAAAATATGCAAATTGCACAACAAAAGTGAGATTTCTAAGCATTTTTTGTGCAATTTTGCGGCGTAACCAGCGTCGCTAAATATAACTTTATTCTCAATAAAACCATAAAATGTAATAATTGTTGAATGACCTTCTTCACCCGAGACACTCAAGTCAGTCGAGTGTGAATCGAGTCTTCGTCCACCATTTTGAATTTTCTCTAAAAGACGCTGACCTAGCAGCCCGGCTGCTTTTATCTTCCGGGGGGGGGGGGGGGGGGTTGGCTTCTCTTTTTACAGGAAATTCATAACTGAGGAATTGTGTACTAAAACATTGTGAAATATGGAAGAAAGGTCAATTTAAGCACTAAAAGCTGCTCCGATATTTCAGAATAAGAAGATACCTAGAAAATGCTCAGAATGCAAAAAGTTGCTCAAAACGAAAAAAGCTGGTCGAAATACTAGAAGTTGGCAAAATTGTGGAAAGCCCTAGTAATAGCCCATTTTCGATATATTAAAATTCTAGCATGACTCCGAGGCTTTGGGGACAAAATTGCAAATTTTTCAAGACTTCATTGTCTCACAATTCCCAAAAGAGACTTGAACACAAAGAAAACCAAACCAAATGTAGAAAAAATGACCAGAAAACCTGGGAGTCACGTTACGATTTTAATATATCGAACGTGGGCTATTAAGTCGCTACAGGCTCCTACGTTCTTCTGTTGAACTTTGTTGCCTTCAATGGTATCCGCCTTGCCGAGAATATGTTCATCGCAATTTAACAGCTGCCTTTAGGTCGCCTCTGAGGTTGCTGTAATATCAAACTTAGAAAACAGTTTGATTGCCAAAGCAAATTAAACCAGGGTAGCCCCAGACTTCTGCCGTTACTTTACGCTTTAACCCTTGTCTTTTTATCAAGCCGCTGGGATACTGGGGTGACACAACAGTTTAATGCACGGGGGAGAGGAGGAATATACTACATTTACTTGTTCCTCGTTATAAGCTCCTCTTCATTTTGTACGTGGCCTGCTATGCGAGAAGCTGGGGCAGGAGACCGGAGAAAAGACCAGCATCACTTCACTAACTCAGTTGAAGGGAAGAGAGTCTCATCTTAGTCTGCTAGCGGCACTAAACTCTCTTGCCTTGTAATACCCATTTAAAACTAAATTTTAGAGAGAATAGTAAGTGAAACTTTCTTACTTGGTACACAGCTTTTATAGAAAAACTTCCCAGCTGCAATATAAGCATTGCAACTCTCGTCTGTCGGCATGATATTATCTGACAGAAGAGTACCGACCGGTACATTCCACCCGGCTGTTTTTCCCGCTCCAGTGTGACAAGACTTTTTCCCTTTAAGAGTCTTAAACGTAATGTCTGAGTTCTTCTTTGCAACCGCCACTGCAAAATAACTTGTGGTGGGGGCTCCACTCTCATAATCTTCACCAACAATGGGGACCATATCATACATCTTTCCTTAAAAGGCAAAGTCGCATAGCAACTGTTAAAAAATCCCAAGAAACAAGCACTGGGGTAAGGAAGAGCAAAAGTTTTCTTTTCTTTTGTCAAATGAAAACACAAAAGCTCGCAGAAAGGACTAAATGCGACTTCCAGTGCTCATTGCCGCTCTGCCATTGGTCAGACTGATTTTCAAATATGTCCGAAGTCATTGTCGTTACGCTGTCTTCGCTAAATATGCCAATCGCAAACGCATACAAACCTACTCGCGCATTTGAGAGCTTAGAAAGACTAAAGGCAGCAGCAAAAAGAAGCAAGGCTGGTTTTACAGTTGGGAATATTATTTTTTGCTAATATTTCTAAGGGCACGGCCTTTCTTCTTCAGGGTCTTACAAATGGCTAGGTTAACTAGCTGAGACGTTATAATTTAAAATGAAGGATAACGCGCAAAATGATAGTATTAATAATAACATGACGAAATAAAAAAAAAGGAAAAAGTGAACGTTGATAGTATATGAAAACTAAGAACCCAAAAAGTTACATAAAAAAGAAATCTGAAATGTAAAAATAGTATACATATCGAATGCACCTCGCAGGCTTATAGCCACGCGAAGGTCTAGCCGTTTGCAGGGCAAAGGCAGTACATTTCAATTCTAAGCTATTCTAAAACCCTCAGTATTGGTCTAGCCCTGGGAATCGAACCAAACACAGTTTTGATGATGTCCGCGCTGCTTTTACTGTCCTTATTACTGAGCTCTCTAATTTGGGGATACGTAATCCAAAAATGTCTGCTTACCTGCGGTATGGATTTCTCCGCCATCAAGAGTAATTAGTTCAGCCAGGCCACTCTGAATTTTTACCATGCAGTCTGCAGCGTTACTCCCCTGAACACATGAAAAATTGACAGCCAAACTGGCCTGAGAAGCCAGTGTGGCTATGACGGTTTCAAAATCATTGCACTTTAATGTCTCCTTATCTGAAATTGTGCACCATCGCATTTGAAAATCTTCACCAAGGCCTGTAAACATTAAAAAAGAGGAATGGGAGATTACAAAACTGGCATACCATTAATCCTCTATTAAGCCCCGCCTCTCAAATAAGCCCCCTCCTTCTAATAAGCCCCCCCCCCCCTTTTCAGGGGAAGAAAGTTAATAAGCCCCTCTTCTTTATTGAGCCCAGCCCCCTCCCAACCCCTAATTATTCTTCACTGATAAATGATAGACTGTTTTAATCACTCACGACCGTAAAACTTTGTGTGGACTGTTATGGAATGGTTTATTTACCAACTGGAAGTTCGGATTTGATTCTGATACTCGGCTGCAAAGCCCTGCATGACCTAAAACGTCTTGTACTTGAGCTTGTGCACCTTGTATTCTAGTTCTTTGTGGAGAACTGATACCATCATCGTTTCTAAATTAAATAAGGCCCCCGTCTCTATTAAGCCCCCCTTAAATGGGCTTGAAATAAATAAGCCCCCAGAAGGGCTTAATAGAGGATTTACGATATCAACGTTAAAAACAAAGATAATGACAAGACATAATAATAAAAATTTGTCACATTGTAATAACGACCGACCGATCCCCCTGGTTATCCTGGTTATCCCCCTTGGTATCTTCAATAACTGTTTATGATGGAATCATCGAGCCTTCTTCTTCATCAAGGAATATTGGGGTTGAATTTGATTCGTTCATGTATATGGAAAGCATGTCACCTTAATGTGCAAGTCTGCTTTTTATCATCTTCGCAACTTGAGTAAAATAAGAAAATATCTTACGCGCGAATCTATTGAAACTTTGGTGCATGCTTTTGTCGCCTCTCGTATTGACCACTGTAATGCGTTATTTTCAGTTTAATTTGCGAAAACGTGTGCTTCAAAAGCTCCAGTTTATACTGAATGCCGCGGCAAGACTTATTTGTGTGTCCGTAATGATCAAATTTCGCCGGTTTTTTAAAATTGATTTGTATTGGTTGCCTGTCAAAGAGCTTGTGAATTTCAAAATTTTATTATTAACATACAAGACTTAGGTCCTTCTTATTTGATTGACCTCCTAAAGTCTATGACCACGGAAAGTGTTTACGATCTAAATCCGAAATATGAACTAGAGAGCTCTGGACGAGGAGCTTTTTCTGTTTCCGCCCCCATAATGTGGAATTCCCTACTGGATCACATAAGACAAGCAAATTCGAAAGACAATTTTAAATCTCTTCTAAAACCTCGCCTTTTTAAGCAAGCTTCTTATGCATGAATTCTATATATAAAGTTTATCTATATTTTTTAACTTTATGTCTGAATTTTGCGATTGTATGCTTGTAAATTGATTTTTGGAAAAAGCGGCGTTGGACCTGCGGATTTTGGCGCTATATAAATCATTTGATGTTATTATGATATTATTATTGTTATTATTATTATTATTATTATTTTACAGTGATCCATGAGAGTGTTTGCAGGTATCATTTCTTTTTATCTTTTGTTGGTCTGTTTTTTTTTTTTTTGCGGTTACAACGTGAAAGACAACTCTTTCCAAAAGTGGCAAGACTGTAAGTTCTGTACGAAATGTCTTTAGTCTTTAAACTCAGAGATGGCCTATTGTTGCCAAAAGAATTAGGAACTTTGTCGACTATATTAGTGATCCATCAGGTTCCAAGTCATCGCATTGTTGTTTAATGCTCTCTTTACCATTATTATTTTGATTATTAATATGAATATAAGTCAGAACAACATCACACCAGAACATTCCCTCCTGAACAAAAGTTCTCTTAGATCCTAACTTTATATGCGCGTTGGGGACTACAAGGTTCTCGCTTGGCTTGTTAACGAAGGAACCGACACTCTGTTCTTCTGCTTCTCTGACTTTATTCTTCTCGGCGTTCTACACTGAGCTACAGTAACTCTTTTTCTACTATTGCAATGCTTCTTCTACTAGCAAGTCTATCACCAGCGAATTAAATAACCAAATTGTAGACGTGACTGGGTTAACTGATCGTGAGAACTTTTCATCGCATATCCTGTCGAATAACTTAAGGAGAATAGAATAGTCTACACTGTCGTAATTAACAAGTACCAAAGAACCAATTCAATGTTAGCGGTAAAACTGCTCGCTATGACCAAGCCTATAGCAAGACAGAGAATACATATTTCAAAATAGGTAAATGAAACAAGGTATGAATGAAATTAAACTGAAAATTTAATATTTACTTAATTATATGTCAATTAAAGTACGCACGCCAACATAAGTATCCTCCTGTAGCTAAATATTCGCAAAGTTTGAAGTTCTTCTATCACTGAATCATTCCCTCCTGCGATAGGGACGATCATTTGACATTTGAGGGGAGAGAGCTGGTCATTTCAGATAAAATAAAAAGAAAAAAATGGCCAACAGACTTCGAATCAAATCAAATTTTTTGCGAGTGGTTTGTTGTCCTATGTTTAAGCCGAAACATTTGGAAGATATTGATCACTTAGAAACCCTATAGCAATACCTTGCCTATTGGACCCCAAGGGACCGCGTGTGAAACAGGCAGCCCAATGAACTCCTATTATGGGGGCCTTGTTTATTAGTCGAAAACGAATGAACTAAAAAGTGTAACTTTGGCGGTTAATGGCTGAATTTGGTATTTTGGAAGCCAAATTACGTCTTTTTGAAGAAAACATTATCTACCATATCGGGAAACTCAGATGAATTGAGCGATACTTTTGCGCTTCTAGGACATCTACGAGAGGTTATTTCCTTGTGCGCTTTGTTTTCCCAAGACGACAAACTGTTGGTACCTTCCATATTTTTTAGTTTTTGTACACTTTTCCTCAAAATATTTGTGAAAGTACATTTATTGGCTAACTTTGCGTGGGCATCACTACTTTGATTCTTTAGAAATTATGGGCGGCGGTGTCACAAGAACAATCGAAGATACCGATTCTTTAGTATAGTTAAAGCGATCCTCTGATTTTGGCCACTTTTGCTGTCCACGGTTTTCAAATAATCTCTTGGTCTTTTGTTTTCAGATCGGCTTTATATGGCGTCACCCATGTAACTAATCTAGGTATTATAATCAAAATTATGCTCGGCTGGAGGTACTGTATTATACTTTTAATCGATATATCATAGGACGTAATTGCACTTCTTCTCTTCCCATATATAACTAGTAATAACATTCCTAAATAGCCTTTGATATTGCTTTTAGAAGAAAATCATGTGGGTGCTTGGGAAGCCTTGCATAACGAGGTAATCAGGCATTCGACTATGCCAAAATTTTCTTCGCTCGAGCCTCGTAGGGTAGTCAAGGTACTCAGTTTCTAAAATGTCCATGCTTTTATGAACTTTGTAAATTCTAGCCAGTGTTTGACGGAAAAATAAGCATACAATTTTTAAAACTGCAATACAACATCTGATAATGCGGCTAAAGAAACTTCAGTTTCTTATGCCGATACTATGCCTGATGCTCTAGATATGATATGGGTTATGTTTAAAAGTATGCCGGCATACTCTTATTTTCACAAGATTTCACTTGCAAGGCCTTGAAAGCGTTGTTTTTATTTTCAAGACTGATTACATCACAGCTTTTGACGAATTTTATTTACCATGTACTCAGTCAACACGCGTAGATTGTGCCTTCAACTTACCCTCTTTTGAATAAACTCTTATACCGAAAGTAGTGAAGCTCTAAGTAAATGATGTTTCCCCTTTGACAATTTTCTTGGATTAGGCAGGGCAGTTGTATTCCATTTGCAGTGTGCGTGGTTAACAATTTTAGCTTGCACTACCTCTTGCGAGCACACTCAGAAAATGGAAGCTCAACTGTTGATAGCCACAACAGTTTAAGTCAACAAAAGGAACAAAAACAAAGCAAACACGCAAAAGAAATAAACACGAGACCAGTCTGAGCCAGAATCTCTATTTGTATCCAATCTCCAGAGGAGAGGAACAACAGAGACCCTAAAAATAGTCGCAGTACGCGAAATGCAGAGAAGCTGTTTTCTAATGAAATTACGAAACATATTCTTTTGCTAAGTACATCAAAATCTGTAAGCATGGTCAGTGGTTTCATTGGAATTAGCTGCTACAAACTCTGCTAGAATGTGTTTCCGCTTTCTAGAGGGGTATAACTCCTTACATAGAGATTTAGAACTACTGACCTAGCCCTGATGCGTAGGTCTTTCATTATGCGTTTAGATATTTGCTCAGAAAGGCCAATTCTTGCCACCAGGCACTAAAGACATATAATTTATGTTCCTAACTTTTGAATATTGAGTAACAACTGCTTAATGAAATCAGAAACCACTCAATAAGGAATTTCATCAATTTGGGATACTTAAAATGTCTAAAATTTTTGTGGAATTTTCTACTTTTGTAAGTATTTATGCCTTTTTGGGTGCATGGTAAAACTAGGAATGTTCGATTCTGGACATTGTTTTATCGTTATAAGCCGTGTTGGTCCTTAGCGCCTAAGAATAATAAATATAAGTGCATATTTGTGTGGAGACAGCTATTGTTAGTCTATAATGGCGGTATACATCACAGACGTAAAGGTGGCCATGCTGGTGAACAAGAACAAAAAAACTAAACTCCTTTTTCATGTAAATTATGTGAAAAATTCTTTTATTGTTTTGTCCATTAGCATGGCCACCTTTGTCATGTGGTTAAAAAAAGAGCAATCAATACTTCGTGTACGTGTTCTCTCGTCTTCTGAGGCCTCTTTTAGGCTAAGCCAACACAATACTGGATCGCTTAGTCATGTGCGCATAAAAAGCTTTTTGGAATCAGAGTATGGAGATCTGTTTATGCCGCGCCAGAGGCTGGCACAAAAACCTATCCGGAAATATGACGATCCACTTTCAAGATCGGCGTGGCCAAGCTTTTCTCTGTTACACAGAAATCTCGCCGAAATCGCCGTTTTCAAGTGTAAACAGAAGCCCAGCCTCCAAGAGCTATATCCGGTCGCATACAGGTGACAAGGATTGTCTGCGACGTAGGTTAAGAAGCTACGCGGGCCATATTTGGAATACCCAGTGGGATCCTCTGCGGTGGAGATTTGGGTGAATAAAATATAATCCCAGAAGTAAAAT